TTGAAATTCTCTGTGGGATCACACAGTGTGTGATTTAACACTCTCTTTGCCCTCACCTTGGAATCACCTCTAATACATGATGTCTGTGTCTCCAGGTCGGCGACGGTTCTCCCTGGTCCAGTCAGACAGTCTTCTGACCAGGATGCGTTCTGTAGCCAGTGATGAGCTGAACCAGATGATACAGAGAAGGATGAGTCAGGAGAACCCGATCAGAGCATCAGAGACTGAGTTCATACAGAGGCTACAGAGACTGGTGGTGCTGGCTGTCAACAGGCTCATCTATCATGGTAAATACGGTAAAACAGGCTCATCTATCATGGTAAATACGGTAAAACAGGCTCATCTATCATGGTAAATACGGTAAAACAGGCTCATCTATCATGGTAAATACGGTAAAACAGGCTCATCTATCATGGTAAATACGGTAAAACAGGCTCATCTATCATGGTAAATACGGTAAAACAGGCTCATCTATCATGGTAAATACGGTAAAACAGGCTCATCTATCATGGTAAATACGGTAAAACAGGCTCATCTATCATGGTAAATACAGTAAAACAGGCTCATCTATCATGGTAAATATGGTAAAACAGGCTCATCTATCATGGTAAGTACGGTAAAACAGGCTCATCTATCATGGTAAATATGGTAAAACAGGCTCATCTATCATGGTAAATACGGTAAAACAGGCTCATCTATACAACGTACTCCTACACCAGGGAAATACTAGGGAAGTACGGTAATACACAGAGACTGAGTTCATACAGAGGCCACAGAGACTGGTGGTGCTGGCTGTCAACAGGCTCATCTATCATGGTAAATACGGTAATAAATACACAGGCTCATATACCGTAGTAAATACGGTAAATAAATACACAGACCCATATACCGTAGTAAATGCTCCTCCGCACACTCCACTGGCTTCCAGTTGAAGCTCGCATCTGCTACAAGACGATGTACTCTGAGGACCTGGAAGTGCGCTTTAAATACCGGTAAAGCCTATACCTCAAGGTCACACTACTGCTCCATCACTCAGAGGGCATCGTTATGGTCCTTCACTAACATTACTGCTCCATCACTCAGAGGGCATCGTTATGGTCCTTCACTAACATTACTGCTCTATCACTCAGAGGGCATCGTTATGGTCCTTCACTAACATTACTGCTCCATCACTCAGAGGGCATCGTTATGGTCCTTCACTAACGTTACTGCTCCATCACTCAGAGGGCATCGTTATGGTCCTTCACTAACATTACTGCTCCATCACTCAGAGGGCATCGTTATGGTCCTTCACTAACATTACTGCTCCATCACTCAGAGGGCATCGTTATGGTCCTTCACTAACATTACTGCTCTATCACTCAGAGGGCATCGTTATGGTCCTTCACTAACATTACTGCTCCATCACTCAGAGCACATCGTTATGGTCCTTCACTAACATTACTGCTCCATCACTCAGAGGGCATCGTTATGGTTCTTCACTAACATTACTGCTCCATCACTCAGAGGGCATCGTTATGGTCCTTCACTAACATTACTGCTCCATCACTCAGAGGGCATCGTTATGGTCCTTCACTAACATTACTGCTCCATCACTCAGAGGGCATCGTTATGGTACTTCACTAACATTACTGCTCCATCACTCAGAGGGCATCGTTATGGTCCTTCACTAACATTACTGCTCCATCACTCAGAGGGCATCGTTATGGCTTTCACTAACATTACTGCTCCATCACTCAGAGGGCATCGTTATGGTCCTTCACTAACATTACTGCTCCATCACTCAGAGGGCATCGTTATGGTCCTTCACTAACATTACTGCTCCATCACTCAGAGTGCAACGTTATGGTCCTTCACTAACATTACTGCTCCATCACTCAGAGGGCATCGTTATGGTTCTTCACTAACATTACTGCTCCATCACTCAGAGGGCATCGTTATGGTCCTTCACTAACATTACTGCTCTATCACTCAGAGGGCATCGTTCCTTCACTAACATTACTGCTCCATCACTCAGAGGGCATCATTATGGTCCTTCACTAACACTACTGCTCCATCACTCAGAGGGCATCTCAGAGTGCATCGTTATGGTCCTTCACTAACATTACTGCTCCATCACTCAGAGGGCATCGTTATGGTCCTTCACTAACATTACTGCTCCATCACTCAGAGGGCATCGTTATGGTCCTTCACTAACACTACTGCACTATCACTCAGAGCACATCTCAGAGTGCATCGTTATGGTCCTTCACTAACATTACTGCTCCATCACTCAGAGGGCATCGTTATGGTCCTTCACTAACATTACTGCTCCATCACTCAGAGGGCATCGTTATGGTCCTTCACTAACATTACTGCTCCATCACTCAGAGTGCATCGTTATGGTCCTTCACTAACATTACTGCTCCATCACTCAGAGGGCATCGTTATGGTGATTCACTATCACTCAGAGGGCATCGTTATGGTCCTTCACTAACATTACTGCTCCATCACTCAGAGCACATCGTTATGGTCCTTCCCTAACATTACTGCTCCATCACTCAGAGGGCATCGTTATGGTCCTTCACTAACATTACTGCTCCATCACTCAGAGGGCATCGTTATGGTCCTTCACTAACATTACTGCTCTATCACTCAGAGGGCATCGTTATGGTCCTTCACTAACATTACTGCTCCATCACTCAGAGGGCATCGTTATGGTCCTTCACTAACATTACTGCTCTATCACTCAGAGGGCATCATTATGGTCCTTCACTAACATTACTGCTCCATCACTCAGAGGGCATCGTTATGGTCCTTCACTAACATTACTGCTCCATCACTCAGAGGGCATCGTTATGGTCCTTCACTAACATTACTGCTCCATCACTCAGAGGGCATCGTTATGGTCCTTCACTAACATTACTGCTCTATCACTCAGAGGGCATCGTTATGGTCCTTCACTAACATTACTGCTCCATCACTCAGAGGGCATCGTTATGGTCCTTCACTAACATTACTGCTCCATCACTCAGAGGGCATCGTTATGGTCCTTCACTAACATTACTGCTCCATCACTCAGAGGGCATCGTTATGGTCCTTCACTAACATTACTGCTCCATCACTCAGAGGGCATCGTTATGGTCCTTCACTAACATTACTGCTCTATCACTCAGAGGGCATCGTTATGGTCCTTCACTAACATTACTGCTCCATCACTCAGAGGGCATCGTTATGGTCCTTCACTAACATTACTGCTCCATCACTCAGAGGGCATCGTTATGGTCCTTCACTAACATTACTGCTCCATCACTCAGAGGGCATCGTTATGGTCCTTCACTAACATTACTGCTCCATCACTCAGAGGGCATCGTTATGGTCCTTCACTAACATTACTGCTCCATCACTCAGAGGGCATCGTTATGGTCCTTCACTAACATTACTGCTCCATCACTCAGAGGGCATCGTTATGGTCCTTCACTAACATTACTGCTCCATCACTCAGAGGGCGTCGTTATGGTCCTTCACTAACATTACTGCTCTATCACTCAGAGGGCATCGTTATGGTTCTTCACTAACATTACTGCTCCATCACTCAGAGGTCATCGTTATGGTCCTTCACTAACATTACTGCTCCATCACTCAGAGGGCATCGTTATGGTCCTTCACTAACATTACTGCTCCATCACTCAGAGGGCATCGTTATGGCCCTTCACTCATTCACACACATTGTTAAACGACCCGACAGATGTAAATGGACATGATTTACTTACTTAGTCCTATTAAATGCTGAAGGAAATAGGTTAATAAATAGCCTAATGCATGGCTGGCTGCAACTGCCTGCATTTACTCCAGACACATTTAGATGAAGGTAGGATCATTCACTGGACCCATATATGGGTTCACTTTAGAGAGGAGCAAAACTTCTCTCCTGACACTTCTGCCACAACATTTGTACAATCAAAATTAACTATCTACATTTGTCATTTTATTTTCTAATGATCTGTCAGTCGCTAAACACGCCTGGGTTAGAGTTAATAATAGCAAGCTAGGACTTGGGATCAGGACATAACGACAGACGTCATCAGCAATGGAATAATTATACGGACAGACATAGTAGGCCTACTAAACAACGCCAAGTAGACCGACTAAAACAACCTCAGCCAAGTAGACCGACTAAAACAACCTCAGCCAAGTAGGCAGACTAAAACTACCTCAGCCAAGTAGGCAGGAAATAACTAGATTGAACAACGATAACTAGCTACGGATTCTGATTCATACATAACGTTTGGAGAAGGAGAGACTTGTGCACTGAGACGAGTGACTGTGTGAGTGTCTGTCTGGGCAAATGAGAGCAGAGGAGAGTGGCTTGTTCTAATCCAATCGTTGCAGCAGGCTCAACCGATACCCCGCCCCTTTCTTTACAGACAGAAGAACTAGCCTGAAAATGACCTCCGATCACGGATAATAAAATAAAAAATACTTGTGTCATAATCATATTCTGGAAGATTCTCTGTATCTCTTACGATACTCATTTTATCTGAGTACTCGGCACACCAGATAGTAAATAGCTTCATTCAAGTGTGGCTATGGAAACAGAGCCTGTGCCTGTGTACTCTGCAGTGTTTCAGGATGTTGTGCTGTCTTCCCATTCTGACTAATAAAGCATTCTTTCTCCTCCTTCTCCTCCTCTGTTCCCGCTCTCCTCCTCCTCCTCCTCCTCTGTTCCCTCTCTCCTCCTCCTCCTCTGTTCCCGCTCTCCTCCTCCTCCTCCTCCTCCTCCTCTGTTCCCTCTCTCCTCCTCCTCCTCTGTTCCCTCTCTCCTCTACAGACGTGAGCCAAGACTTCTACGACCTGCTGAACTTCCCAGACTCCCCGGACCACCACCTGACCCCTGACCCTGTCGACCCTGTCGACCCCGTCGACCACGCCCCCGAGGAGAACGGCTCCATCCCTGGCTCATCAGGCCACACCCCTGGCCCTCCCTCCCCCCCTCCCCTTCCCCCTCCCCCCCGCCAACATGAAGAGTTTCCAGAAAGACATCCTCAGACTGATGATGGATGGGATCAAGATCAGTTTGGTTAGTGTTGGTTAGTGTTGGGTTAGTGTTGGTTAGTGTTGGTTAGTGTTTGTTAGTGTTGGTTATAATCACAGTTGGGGGGGGCGAACTCCATTTCCATTCAGTCAATTTGGAAAGTAAACTAAAATGATGAATTGGATTTTCAGTTTGCTTCTTGAATTGTGAAGTTACAGTGTGTTAGAACTACCTCTGAATATTAATGGGACCAATAGAGGGAGGCTCATGGGGAGTGAGGAGCTCCGCTTTCTACCCACAAAACTGGGATTAAATGTAGAAGCCAGACAACATAGTTTAAAATGGATAGAACAGTATATCCCCAAGCAACGTGGAGAGGGTGAGCGGTCCAGGGTAGGGGAGGGAATGGCCGGCAGGGATGTAGCTCAGTTGGTAGAGCATGGCGTTTGCAACGCCAGGGTTGTGGGTTCGATTCCCACGGGGGGCCAGTATGAAAAAATAAATAAAATAAAATAATGTATGCACTCACTAACTGTAAGTCGCTCTGGATAAGAGCGTCTGCTAAATGACTAAAATGTAAAATGTTTGCAACTGCACATGGGGACAAAGATAATATTTTTTGCGAATAGTCCGGGTAGTCATGATTAGCTGTTCAGGAGTCTTATGGCTTGGGGGTAGAAGCTGTTAAGAAGCCTTTTGGACCTAGACTTGGAGCTCCGGTACCGCTTGCCGTGCCTTAGCAGAGAGAACAGTCTATGACTAGGGTGGTTGGAGTCTTTGACAATTTTTAGGGCCTTCCTCTGACACCGCCTGGTATAGAGGTCCTGGATGGCAGGAAGCTTGGCCCCGGTGATGTACTGGGCCGTACGCACTACCCTCTGTAGTGCCTTGCGGTCGGTGGCCGAGCAGTTGCTATACCAGGCGGTGATGCAACCAGTCAGGATGCTCTCGGTGGTGCAGCTGTATAACTTTTTGAGGATCTGAGGACCCATGCCAAATCTTTTCAGTCTCCTGAGGGGGAAAAGGCTTTGGCCTCTTCACGACTGATATACCTGACCAATATTGAAAACTCAATGCCCCCCTTGCTATAAATATTTTCAGAATACTCTAAAATCTCAGGATATAAAATGTACTTGAAAAAAAAAAAATGGCAATAAGAAAAAGAATAAGTCACGATTTACAGAAATCCTTTAAGTGGACCACAACAAATATCAAATACTTAGGATGCTTAATAAGTGACAACAAACAACAGATATTTAAAGATAAACTGTAGTCCATTACTCAACAATATGAAAGCAGATCTAATTAAATGGAACCATCTTCCCAATAAAGGTTACAGGTAGAATTCAGGATAGCATGGCTCCTAAAGTTTTTGAATTTATTTTTTGATAATACCAATTACCCAACCGAAGACATTCTTTAAAAAAGTATTCTAGGTCATAAGACTTTATATGGGGAAATACAATTCATAGAATAAAAATGATTTTTACATCTTCCTGAGTCCGAGGGTGGTTATAACCTTCCAGACTTGGAATTGTATCAACTCGCCACCCAAGGTTTTTACTAGAGACATATAGTTAAATGCGCTAAAGAGGAAACAATGGGTCCATATTGAGGATGTTCATGCTCATCCCCAGAATCTTTTTACGTGTCTATTTTCAAAGGATAAAGCTAAGAACATTAACAACTTCATAGTTAAAAACACTATAACAATATGGAAGAAAACTAAACGTATTCTACAATAACCAATATCGCTCCATAAAAACACAACCCTATGGAACAATCCTTGGATAGCTTTTCAGAATTCACAGATAAATTGGTCCACATGAAAAACTTAAAGGCATAGAATCCGTAAATGACTTGGTAACAGGAAATAAATGTATTTCCATGACAGAATTAAAAAGCAATTTTGGACTGATCAATGCAGATACAGTGGGGAGAACAAGTATTTGATACACTGCCGATTTTGCAGGTTTTCCTACTTACAAAGCATGTAGAGGTCTGTAATTTTTTATCATAGGTACACTTCAACTGTGAGAGACGGAATCTAAAACAAAAATCCAGAAAATCACATTGTATGATTTTAAAATAATTAATTTGCATTTTATTGCATGACTTAAGTATTTGATCACCTACCAACCAGAAAAAATTCCGGCTCTCACAGACCTGTTCGTTTTTCTTTAGGTAGCCCTCCTGTTCTCCACTCATTACCTGTATTAACTGCACCTGTTTGAACTCGTTACCTGTATAAAAGACACCTGTCCACACACTCAATCAAACAGACTCCAACCTCTCCACAATGGCCAAGACAAGAGAGCTGTGTAAGGACATCAGGGATAAAATTGTAGACCTGCACAAGGCTGGGATGGGCTACAGGACAATAGGCAAGCAGCTGGTGAGAAGGCAACAACTGTTGGCACAATTATTAGAAAATGGAAGAAGTTCAAGATGACGGTCAATCACCCTCGGTCTGGGGCTCCATGCAAGATCTCACCTCGTGGGGCATCAATGATCATGAGGAAGGTGAGGGATCAGCCCAGAACTACACGGCTGGACCTGGTCAATGACCTGAAGAGAGCTGGGACCACAGTCTCAAAGAAAACCATTAGTAACACACTACGCCATCATGGATTAAATCCTGCAGCGCACGCAAGGTCCCCCTGCTCAAGCCAGCGCATCTCCAGGCCCGTCTGAAGTTTGCCAATGACCATCTGGATGATCCAGAGGAGGAATGGGAGAAGGCCATGTGGTCTGATGAGACAAAAATATAGCTTTTTGGTCTAAACTCCACTCGCCGTGTTTGGAGGAAGAAGAAGGATGAGTACAACCCCAAGAACACCATCCCAACCGTGAAGCATGGAGGTGGAAACATCATTCTTTGGGGATGCTTTTCTGCAAAGGGGACAGGACGACTGCACCGTATTGAGGGGAGGATGGATGGGGCCATGTATCGCGAGATCTTGGACAACAACCTTCCCTCAGTAAGAGCATTGAAGATGGGTCGTGGCTGGGTCTTCCAGCATGACCACGACCCGAAACACACAGCCAGGGCAACTAAGGAGTGGCTCCGTAAGAAGCATCTCAAGGTCCTGGAGTGACCTAGCCAGTCTCCAGACCTGAACCCAATAGAACATCTTTGGAGGGAGCTGAAAGTCTGTATTGCCCAGCGACAGCCCCGAAACCTGAAGGATCTGCAGAAGGTCTGTATGGAGGAGTGGGCCAAAATCCCTGCTGCAGTGTGTGCAAACCTGGTCAAGACCTACAGGAAACGTATGATCTCTGTAATTGCAAACAATGGTTTCTGTACCAAATATTAAGTTCTGCTTTTCTGATGTATCAAATACTTATGTCATGCAATAAAATGCAAATGAATTACTTAAAAATCATACAATGTGATTTTCTGTATTTTTGTTTTAGATTCCGTCTCTCACAGTTGAAGTGTCCCTATGATAAAAAATTACAGACCTCTACATGCTTTGTAAGTAGGAAAACCTGCAAAATCGGCAGTGTATCAAATACTTGTTCTCCCCACTGTATTTTCACATTTGCATTTCACAAAATTTCGATTTGAAATCTTTCGGACGTCAGAGCAACCTTGAGGGAATCTTATTTGCTTCAGAAAAGGATGTTCCTATGATAGGTAAGATATGCAAAACCTTGCAGAGATCCTATCCAACTGACAACCTCTTAGAAGAAAATATTAGCTATTGGAACCAAGACTTTAAATAACTGATATTGGCACAATATGGAGAGCATAACTAATAGAATTACAGTTAGCTAAAATTTTACAAATTCTACAACGACAGAGTCATGTCTAGTGTTATTACTCAATAAGCTTTCTGGGAACGTTATGGGCGGAGCTAGAAAGTTGGCTGTCAGAAGTACTACAATGTAAATGTACTTTTAATCCGTCTGTCTGCATATTTCAAGACATGGCATATGGGGGTGTAGTGAGATACCCGATGGGCTGGACGATTCTCTCCTCATCACTCATCTTGAAAAAACGTATAATAAAAACGTGGAAATCAATCATTCCACCATCATTGACACAACAAAAAAAATGTAATGATTTATTATTGAAATGGCACGGACGACCGAGAAAAACAAATTGGTAACATTTTAAGGCCATGTGGCAAACAATAATACAGGTACTAGGGATGGAGGTCTGAGCATGTGGGTCTGGGCAGGGATGGAGGTCTGGGCAGGGATGGAGGTCTGGCATGTGGGTCTGGGCAGGGATGGAGGTCTGAGCATGTGGGTCTGGGCAGGGATGGAGGTCTGAGCATGTGGGTCTGGGCAGGGATGGAGGTCTGAGCATGTGGGTCTGGGCAGGGATGGAGGTCTGGGCATGTGGATCTGGGCAGGGATGGAGGTCTGAGCAAGTGGGTCTGGGCAGGGATGGAGGTCTGGGCATGTGGGTCTGGGCAGAGGAGATGTAGTCATTGTTTGTGTGTGTCTGTCAGTTGTTGTTCGAATGTGCATGTCTCTAGCTGGTGTAAAAAAATAGGAAAAAAATATGATACAAAAAAATACTCAACTGACTTCCTCTATGGTTGTTCTTCCAGGGCAGTACGGGTCGTGGCGGGGCCCCCAGGCAGCAGTGGAGGAGGATCCTGTGGTCGTGTCGGGACACCTTCAGGGTTCAGATCGGACGTCTCCTGGTGCACACCCTCTCCCCTGCATTACCCCTCAGGGACAGGAAGGAGGTTCTTGAGTTTGTGTTCGACCCTGCATACCTTGAAATCCTCAGGGAGAGCCTCAGCCCCGGGTTAGAGGTAAGAGGTCAGAGGTCAGGGGTCACTGTCAGGGTTAGGGCTGAGCCCAGACATCCTCGGGGAGAGCCACAGCGCCAGGTTTAAGGTGAGAGGTCGGGGGTCGCTATCAGGGTTAGGGCTGACCCCAGACATCCTCGGGGAGAGCCACAGCGCCAGGTTTAAGGTGAGAGGTCGGGGGTCGCTATCAGGGTTAGGGCTGACCCCAGACATCCTCGGGGAGAGCCACAGCGCCAGGTTTAAGGTGAGAGGTCGGGGGTCGCTATCAGGGTTAGGGCTGACCCCAGACATCCTCGGGGAGAGCCACAGCGCCAGGTTTAAGGTGAGAGGTCGGGGGTCGCTATCAGGGTTAGGGCTGACCCCAGACATCCTCGGGGAGAGCCACAGCGCCAGGTTTAAGGTGAGAGGTCGGGGGTCGCTATCAGGGTTAGGGCTGACCCCAGACATCCTCGGGGAGAGCCACAGCGCCAGGTTTAAGGTGAGAGGTCGGGGGTCGCTATCAGGGTTAGGGCTGACCCCAGACATCCTCGGGGAGAGCCACAGCGCCAGGTTTAAGGTGAGAGGTCGGGGGTCGCTGTCAGGGTTAGGGCTGACCCCAGACATCCTCAGGGAGAGCCACAGCCCCGGGTTTAAGGTGAGAGGTATGGGGTCGCTGTCAGGGTTAGGGCTGAGCCCAGACATCCTCGGGGAGAGCCACAGCGCCAGGTTTAAGGTGAGAGGTCGGATGTCGCTGTTAGGGTCAGGGTTAGGGCTGAGCCCAGACATCCTCGGGGAGAGCCACAGCGCCAGGTTTAAGGTGAGAGGTCGGATGTCGCTGTTAGGGTTAGGGTTAGGTGCTGACCCCAGACATTCTCAGGGAGAGCCCCAGGTTGAAGGTGACAGGTCAGAGGTCGAGAGAGAGGATGAGATATAGAGAGAGTGATCGAGAGAGAGGGCAAGATCGAAAGAGAGAAAATGAGTCTCTCATGTTGCCATCTTATGGGGGGGTTACTGTAGGTCAGTCTCATGTTCCCATGTACGTTCAGTAGAGGTCCAGCTGCCAGGGCCTTGGCTCTCAAATAACCCAGAGACACATCTTCATACTCCTAGTTACCATGGCAGCCTGGTCTGTATTACTGTTCCTCCTCCAGGGTGGTTACTGGAGGTCAGACTGTTCCTCCTCCAGGGGGTGGTTACTGTAGGTCAGACTGTTCCTCCTCCAGGGGGTGGTTACTGGAGGTCAGACTGTTCCTCCTCCAGGGTGGTTACTGGAGGTCAGACTGTTCCTCCTCCAGGGGGTGGTTACTGGAGGTCAGACTGTTCCTCCTCCAGGGGGTGGTTACTGGAGGTCAGACTGTTCCTCCTCCAGGGGGTGGTTACTGGAGGTCAGACTGTTCTTCCTCCAGGGGGTGGTTACTGGAGGTCAGACTGTTCCTCCTCCAGGGTGGTTACTGGAGGTCAGACTGTTCCTCCTCCAGGGGGTGGTTACTGGAGGTCAGACTGTTCCTCCTCCAGGGGGTGGTTACTGGAGGTCAGACTGTTCCTCCTCCAGGGGGTGGTTACTGGAGGTCAGACTGTTCCTCCTCCAGGGTGGTTACTGGAGGTCAGACTGTTCCTCCTCCAGGGTGGGTTACTGGAGGTCAGACTGTTCCTCCTCCAGGGTGGTTACTGGAGGTCAGACTGTTCCTCCTCCAGGGTGGTTACTGGAGGTCAGACTGTTCCTCCTCCAGGGGGTGGTTACTGGAGGTCAGACTGTTCCTCCTCCAGGGGGTGGTTACTGGAGGTCAGACTGTTTCTCCTCCAGGGGGTGGTTACTGGAGGTCAGACTGTTCCTCCTCCGGGGGTGGTTACTGGAGGTCAGACTGTTCCTCCTCCAGGGGGTGGTTACTGGAGGTCAGACTGTTCCTCCTCCAGGGGGTGGTTACTGGAGGTCAGACTGTTCCTCCTCCAGGGGGTGGTTACTGGAGGTCAGACTGTTCCTCCTCCAGGGTGGTTACTGGAGGTCAGACTGTTCCTCCTCCAGGGTGGGTTACTGGAGGTCAGACTGTTCCTCCTCCAGAGGGTGGTTACTGGAGGTCAGACTGTTCCTCCTCCAGGGGGTGGTTACTGGAGGTCAGACTGTTCCTCCTCCAGGGGGTGGTTACTGGAGGTCAGACTGTTCCTCCTCCAGGGGGTGGTTACTGGAGGTCAGACTGTTCCTCCTCCAGGGGGTGGTTACTGGAGGTCAGACTGTTCCTCCTCCAGGGTGGTTACTGGAGGTCAGACTGTTCCTCCTCCAGGGGGTGGTTACTGGAGGTCAGACTGTTCCTCCTCCAGGGGGTGGTTACTGGAGGTCAGACTGTTCCTCCTCCAGGGTGGGTTACTGGAGGTCAGACTGTTCCTCCTCCAGGGGGTGGTTACTGGAGGTCAGACTGTTCCTCCTCCAGGGTGGGTTACTGGAGGTCAGACTGTTCCTCCTCCAGGGTGGTTACTGGAGGTCAGACTGTTCCTCCTCCAGGGGGTGGTTACTGGAGGTCAGACTGTTCCTCCTCCAGGGTGGGTTACTGGAGGTCAGACTTGTCGGTGGTAGATGAAGGGAGGGATGGACCCCTGCCCATCATCCACTTAGTCTTAGATAGACGTCAGTCAGTTTGACTAAGGCCATTTGTAGATCAATAATCCCGAACAGTCCGACTGCAGTCAATCTCAAACACGCACATTGACTCACGAACCCTTCTCCTCTCCCTTCTCCTCTCCCTCTCTCCTCTCCCTCTCTCCCTCTCTCCTCTCTCCCTTCTCCTCTCCCTCTTCCTCTCCCTCTCTCCTCTCCCTCTCTCCTCTCTCCCTTCTCCTCTCCCTCTCTCTCTCTCCTCTCCCTCTCTCCTCTCTCCCTCTCTCCTCTCCCTCTCTCCTCTCCCTATCTCCTCTCTCCCTTCTCCTCTCTCAGCACGGTCCCAAGCTGGCCATGTATCTGTATGAGATGCTCCATGACCACAAAGATGCTCTGACCAAAGAGGAGCAGACTGCTGTGGGCATGTTCATGACAGCACTGAAGCTGTGTGGTCATCGCTGCATCCCGCCCAGCGCACCGCACAAACCAGACCTGCTCAAGGCTATCAAAGAGGTAACCTTTCCCCTAACTTTATAAAACAGGGGTGAACAAACTACCACCCGTGGGCCGGATCCAGCCCGGGGGAGTTAAAAGATATATATATATATACAGTACCAGTCAAAAGTTTGGACACACCTACTCATTCCAGGGTTTTTCTTTATTTTTACTATTTTTTACATGTTAGAAGAATAGTGAAGACATCAAAACTATGAAATAACACATATGGAATCATGTAGTAACCAAAACAGACCCAGAGTTACCTCTGCTGCAGAGGATAAGTTCATTAGAGTTACCAGCTTCAGAAATTGCTGCCCAAATAAATGCTTCACAGAGTTCAAGTAACAGACACATCTCAACATCAACTGTTCAGAGGGGACTGTGTGAATCAGGCCTTCATGGTCGAATTGCTGCAAAGAAACCACTACTAAAGGACACCAATAAGAAGAAGAGACTTGCTTGGGCCAAGAAACACGAGCAATGGACATTAGACCGGTGGAAATCTGTCCTTTGGTCTGATGAGTCCAAATTGGAGATTTTTGGTTCCAACCGCCGTGGCTTTGTGAGACGCAGTGTAAGTGAACGGATGATCTCTGCATGTGTGGTTCCCACCGTGAAGCATTGAGGAGGAGGGGTGGGGGTGCTTTGCTGGTGACACTGTCTGTGATTTATTTAGAATTCAAGGCACACTTAACCAGCATGGCTACCATAGCATTCTGCAGCGATACGCCATCCCATCTGGTTTGGGCTTAGTGGGACTATCATTTGTTTTTCAACAGGACAATGACCCAACACACCTCCAGGCTGTGTAAGGGCTATTTGACCAAGAAGAAGAGTGATGGAGTGCTGCATCAGATGACCTGGCCTCCACAATCCCCCAATCTCAACCCAATTGAGATGGTTTGGGATGAGTTGCACCGCAGAGTGAAGGAAAAGCATCCAACAACTGCTCAGCATATGTGGGAGCTCCTTCTAGACTGTTGGAAAAGCCTTCCAGGTGAAGCTGGTTGAGAGAATGTCAACAGTGTGCAAAGCTGTCATCAAGGCAAAGGGTGGCTACTTTGAAGAATCTCAAATATAAAATATATTTTGATTTGTTTAACACTTTTTTGGTTGCTACATGATTCCATATGTGTTATTTCATAGTTTTGATGTCTTCACTATTATTCTACAATGTAGAAAATAGTCAAAATTTGGAAAAACCCTGGAATGAGTAGGTGTGTCCAAACTTTTGACTGGTACTGTGTATTCCATAGATCTTCAATTCATAAACTGGGTGTTTATTTGCTGAAATCACTGAACACAACAGGCGCTTATTAGAGACAGGCTTCTATATGAGCCAGCCATCTATTTCCTTAATCAATCAATCAATCAAATTTGATTTATAAAGCCCTTTTTACATCAGCAGATGTCACAAAGTGCTATACAGAAACCCAGCCTAAAACCTCAATCAGCAAGCAATGCAGATGTAGAAGCACGGTGGATAGGAAAAACTCCCTAGAAAGGCAGAAACCTAGGAAGAAACCTAGAGAGGACCCAGGTTCTGAGGGGTGGCCAGTCCTCTTCTGGCTGTGCCGGGTGGAGATTATAACAGTACATGGCCATTAAGGCCAGATTTGTCTCCAAGATGTTCAAACGTTCATAGATGACCAGCAGGGTCAAATAATAATCACAGTGGTTGTAGAGGTTGCAACAGGTCAGTACATCAGGAGTAAATGTCACTTGGCCTTTCATAGCCGGGCATTTAGAGGTTGAAATAGCAGGTGCAGTAGAGAGAGAGAGTTGAAAACAGCAGGTCTGGGACAAGGTAGCACGTCCGGTGAACAGGTCAGCGTTCCCTAGCTGCAGGCAGAAGAGTGGAAACTGGAGCAGCAGCACGACCAGGTGGACTGGGGACAGCAAGGAGTCATCAGGCCAGGTAGTCCTGAGGCATGGTCCTAGGGCTCAGGTCCTCCGGGAGGGGAGGGAGAGAGGGAGAGGACTGGGGACAGCCAGGAGTCATCAGGCCAGGTAGTCCTGAGGCATGGTCCTAGGGCTCAGGTCCTCCGAGAAGGGGAGGGAGAGAGAGAGAGAGAGATAATTAGAGAGAGCATACTTAAATTTACACAGGACACTAGATAAGACAGGAGATTTACACCAGATATAGCAAACTGACCCTAACCCCCCGGCACATAGAGAATTGCAGCATAGATACTGGAGGCTGAGACAGGGGGTCGGGAGACACCGTGGCCCCGTCTGAAGATACCCCCAGACAGGGCCAACCAGGCAGGATATAACCCCACCCACTTTGCCAAAGCACAGCCCCCACACCACCAGAGGGATATCAACAGACCACCAACCTACTACCCTGAGACAAGGCTGAGTATAGCCCACAAAGATCTCCTCCACTGCACGAGCCCGAGGGGGCGACAAACCGGACAGGAAGATAACGTCTTCCTGTCCGATATAGGCCGATAGCAATCTCACTGGAATAAACGAAGGCAAACACCGCCATGTTTAGTATTGCTCAACCCAGATCGAGGCACAGACACGGTCTCAACGGGGATAGCTGAGCTGACTACACTGACTGTGCTAGTGGCAGACTCCACCAAGCTGGCAGGCTGACCTGCACCCTGTCTCGTTGTGGAGCTTCATGTAAACAACATTGTTTGCATAGTTAATTGTTTATTTCCAGCATTCACTTCCAGCATAATCAGTCTTCATTTCCTGTTATCATTTACACCCTGTCACGTTTCTTTTCTTAGGATGGCTAAAAAATATACAAAATATTAGTTGACAGAATAATTATTATCTTCTTTTACTGTATTTTCTGCAGTTCTTACTTTCACCACTAGAGGGCGATCAGACAAATCCTGGGGGTCTGTACTCCTGAAGCTTTTGACTGTTTCTGTTCTTGCCAGTTAGCTAGCAGTTCTCTGTTAGCCAGTTAGCTAGCAGTTCTCTGTTAGCCAGTTAGCTAGCAGTTCTCTGTTAGCCAGTTAGCTAGCAGTTCTCTGTTAGCCAGTTAGCTAGCAGTTCTCTGTTAGCCAGTTAGCTAGCAGTTCTCTGTTAGCCAGTTAGCTAGCAGTTCTCTGTTAGCCAGTTAGCTAGCAGTTCTCTGTTAGCCAGTTAGCTAGCAGTTCTCTGTTAGCCAGTTAGCTAGCAGTTCTCTGTTAGCCAGTTAGCTAGCAGTTCTCTGTTAGCCAGTTAGCTAGCAGTTCTCTGTTAGCCAGTTAGCTAGCAGTTCTCTGTTAGCCAGTTAGCTAGCAGTTCTCAGCTGTGTGTCTTACTGCCGATAAAAATAGATGATTGACGTCATTTGAGTCATTACTGAATTATTTAATGTAACAAATCAAACATTAAACCTCGTAAACAATTCATGGTAATTCATGGTAACCTCGTAAACAATTCATTTAGACCAGGCATTTATTTGAAACAGGCATTTGCTGAAATGTGTCCCGTTACCCTGCTATTAAAAGGGGCAGGCGGTTATTTGAGACTCAACGTTTCATTTATATACTGAAACATGTAAAGTGTTGTTTCATGAGCTGAAATAAAAGATCCCAGAAATGTTATGGTATGGGCAGGCATAAGCTACAGACAGCGAACACAATTGCATTTTATGGATGGCAATCTGAATGCACGGAGATACCGTGACGAGAGGCCCATTGTCGTGCCATTCATCCGCTGCCATCACCTCATGTTTCAGCATGATAATGCACGGCCCCGTGTCGCAAGGATCTGTACACAATTCCTGGAAGCTGAAAATGTCTGAGTTCTTCCATGGCCTGCATACTCACCAGACATGTCACCCATTGAAGTGTACGACAGCGTGTTCCAGTTTACGCCAATATCCAGCAACTTCACACAGCCATTGAAGAGGAGTGGGACAACATTCCACAGGCCACAATCAACAGCCTGATCAACTCTATGCGAAGGAGATGTGTCGCGCTGCATGAGGCAAATGGTGGTCACACCAGATACTGACTGGTTTTCTGATCCACGCCCCTACCGTTTTTTAAAGGTATCTGTGACCAACAGATGCATGTCTGTATTCCCAGTCATGTGAAATCCATAGATTAGGGCCTAATTAATTTATTCCAATTGAGGGCGGCAGGTAGTTTAGTGGTTAAGAGCATTGTGCCAGTAACCGAAAGGTCGCTGGTTCTAATCCCCGAGCCGACTAGGTGAAAAATCTGTCGATGTGCCCTTAAGCAAGGCACTTAACCCTAATTGCTCCTGTAAGTCGCTCTAGATAAGAGCGTCTGATAAATGACTAAAATGTCAATGTAAAATTACTGATATCCTCATATGAACTGTAACTCAGTAAAATCTGTTGAAGTTGTTGCATGTTGCATTTCTTTTGTTGGTTCAGTGTAAATTATTATTTTGGGTTAACAAAACACCCCAGCTCTTGAACGTCTAAAATTAGATAAAAAGTACGTAGAAGTTATAATGGACCTACACTGAGTTTACAAAACATTTGGAACGCCTTCCTAATATTGAGTTGGGTTAGGGTTTCCTGTGTTTATCAAGAATGGTCCACCACTCCAAGGACATCCAGCCAACTTGACAGAACTGTGGGAAGCTTTGGAGTCAACATGGGCCAGCATCCCTGTGGAATGCTCAGACAAAACCCTAACCCTATAACATATCTTACTTAACCCTATAACAGCACCTACTTAACCCTATAACATCACTTACTTAACCCTAGCCCTATAACATCACTTACTTAACCCTAGCCCTATAACATATCTTACTTAACCCTAACCGTATAACATCTCTTACGGAACCCGAGAACAGAGCGACGGAACCGAACCGAGAAACAGCACGGACGGAACCCGAGAACAGAGCGGACGGAACCGGAACCCGAGAAAGCACGGACGGAACCCGAACCCGAGAAAAAGCACGGACGGAACCCGAACCCGAGAACAGCACGGACGGAACCGGAACCCGAGAACAGCACGGACGGAACCCGAACCCGAGAACAGCACGGACGGAACGGAACCCGAGAACAGCGCGGACGGAAACCCGATGAACAGCACGGACGGAACCCGAACCCGAGAACAGCGCGGACGGAACCCGAGAACAGCGCGGACGGACGAACCCGAGAACAGCGCGGAGCGGGCCCGAACCCGAGAACAGCGCGGGGACCCGAACCAGAGAACAGCGGACGGGACCCGGAAACCCGAGAACACGCGGACGGAACCCGAACGAGCGAGGAACCGAGACAGCGGACGGAACCCGAGAACAGCAGCGACCCGAACCGAGACAGCGCGACGGAACCGAACCCGAGAACAGCGCGGACGGAACCCGAACGAGGACCGAGAACAGCGGACGGAACCCGAACCCGAGAACAGCGCGGACGGAACCCGAGAAACAACGCGGACGGAAACCCGAGAACAGAGCGGACGGAACCCGAACCCGAGAACAGGCGGACGGAACCGAGAACAGCGCGACGGAACCCGAGAACAGCGCGGACGAACCCGAACAGGAGAAAGCGCTGACGAACCCGAGAACAGCGGGACGGAACCCGAACCCGAGAACAGAGCGGACGGAACCGAACCCGAAACAGCGCGGACGGAACCCGAACCCGAGAACAGCGCGGACGGAACCCGAGAACAGAGCGGACGTGAACCCGAACCCGAAACAGCGCGGACTGAACCCGAGAACACGCGGACGGAACCCGAACCAGAGAACAGCGCGACGGAACCCGAAACACCGGACTTAACCCGAACCCAAACATCCGGACGAACCCGAACCCGAGAACAAGCGGACGAACCGAGAACAGAGCGGACGGAACCCGAACCCGAGAACATCACGACGGAACCCGAACCCGATAACATGCTCGACGGAACCCGAGAACAGCCTACGGAACCCGAACCCGAGACACGCGTACTGAACCCTAACCGAGAACCACGCTGACGGTAACCAGAACACTCTTACTAACCCTATAAATCTCGTACAACCCATAACACGCTATTAACCCAACCCTTAAACATCTCTTACTTAACCCTATAACATCTCTTACTTAACCCTAACCCTATAACATCTCTTACTTAACCCTATAACATCTCTTACTTAACCTAACCCTATAACATCTCTTACTTAACCCTAACCCTATAACATCACTAGCCAGTCTAGCCAACGGTTAAACTCTGGAGCTAGAACTGTCTTGATGAGTCCTGGTTTATTTTCTCCAACAACCCAAGGGCTGATCTATCTACCTGATTATTGGAAGTCCCAGCCTTGACCCGTTTCATCTCGCAGGTCTCACTCTTGTCCCGTTTCATCTCGCAGGTCTCACTCTTGTCCCGTTTCATCTCGCAGGTCTCACTCTTGTCCCGTTTCATCTCACAGGTCTCACTCTTGTCCCGTTTCATCTCACAGGAACAGTTGAAATACGAGGTGGAAGAGAAGAGCAGTAAGCTGGCCTGGGAGAAAAAGATTTCCAACACACAGAAAAGGTGAAGGATGATTGGTTCGTTAGACTCCAGAGCCGTGTCTTACTTCCTGTCAAACTACCTTGCTTTCCCCCGTTCTTGTTTCCTCCATTCCTCTCAAAGCTCATTGGAGGAGGAGGTCAGAGGGAGGGACCTTGGAATGGATCCTCAGCGCCCATGTACTTTGAGAGGAATTCAGAAACCAAGGACAGAGGCAAAGAGTGACCATTGTTTTATACTAATGCATTGTCCATCTCTCTCCCTTCTCCAGTCTGATCCAGCGTCTGGACGGTAAGTCCAAGGACATCTCTAAGATCGCAGCCGACATCACCCAGAATGTGTCACTGAGACAGGGTATGGAGAGAAAGAAAGTCATCCAACACATCAGAGGGCTCTATAAGATGGACCTCAGTGCCTCAAGACACTGGCAGGAACTGGTTCAGACACTCACACACGACCGGTGAGGACTGGGGAGGGGGGGGGTGTCACACTGAGTTACACTGGGGAGGGGGGGGGGGGGGGGGGGGTCACACAGAGTTACACTGGAGGGGGAGGTGGGGGGGGGGGGGGGGTCACACAGAGTTACACTGGGGGGGTCACACTGGGGGAGGGGGGGGGGGGTCACACAGAGTTACACTGGGGGGGGGGGTCTCACTGAGTTATACTGGGGAGGGGAGTCACTGGGCAGCTCACGGCTGTGCTTCCCTTTGTAGTCTGTAACAGTTTGCAAGCCCTGCCACATCCGACGAGCGTCAGAGCCAGTGTAATACGATTCAATCTTAGTCCTGTATTGACTCTTTGCCTCTTTGATGGTTCGTTGGAGGGCATAGCGGGATTTCTTATACAGTTGAAGTCGGAAGTTTACATACACTTAGGTTGGAGTCATTAAAACTTGTTTTTCAACCACTCCACAAATCTTGTTAACAAACTATAGTTTTGCAAGTCGGTTAGGACATCTACTTTGTGCATGACACAAGTAATTTTTCCAACAATTGTTTACAGACAGATTATTTCACTTATTATTCACTGTATCACAATTCCAGTGGGTCAGAAGTTTACATACACTAAGTTGACTGTGCCTTTAAACAGCTTGGAGAATTCCAGAAAATGTTTTCATGGCTTTAGAAGCTTCTGATAGGCTAATTGACATCATTTGAGTCAATTGGAGGTGTACCTGTGGATGTATTTCAAGGCCTACCTTCAAACTCAGTGGCTCTTTGCTTGACATCATGGGAAAATCAAAAGAAATCAGCCAAGACCTCAGAAAACAAATGGTAGACCTCCACAAGTCTGGTTCATCCTTGGGAGCAATTTCCAAACGCCTGAAGGCACCACGTTTATCTGTACAAACAATAGTACGCAAGTATAAACACCATGGGACCACGCAGCCGTCATACCGCTCAGGAAGGAGACGCGTTCTGTCTCCTAGAGATGAACGTACTTTGGTGCGAAAAGTGCAAATCAATCCCAGAACAACAGCAAAGGACGTTGTGAAGATGCTGGAGGAAACAGGTACAAAATTATCTATATCCACAGTAAAACGTGTCCTATATCGACAGAACCTGAAAGGCTGCTCAGCAAGGAAGAAGCCACTGCTCCAAAACTGCCATAAAAAAGACAGACTATGGTTTGCAACTGCACATGGGGACAAATATCTTACTTTTTGGAGAAATGTCCTCTGGTCTGATGAAACAAAAATAGAACTGTTTGGCAATACTGAACATCGATATGTTTGGAGGAAAAAGGGGGTTGCTTGCAAGCCGTAAAACACCATCCCAACCGTGAAGCACGGGGGTGGCAGCGTCGTGCTGTGGGGGTGCTTTGCTGCAGGAGGGACTGGTGCACTTCACAAAATAGATGGCATCATGAGGAAGGAAAATTATGTGGATATATTGAAGCAACATCTCAAGACATCAGTCAGGAAGTTAAATCTTGGTCGCAAATGGGTCTTCCAAATGGACAATGACCCCAAGCATACTTCCAAAGTTGTGGCAAAAGGGCTTAAGGACAACAAAGTCAAGGTATTGGTGTCCATCACAAAGCCCTGACCTCAATCCTATAGAACATTTGTGGGCAGAACTGAAAAAGTTTGTGTGAGCAAGGAGGCCTACAAACCTGACTCAGTTACACCAGCTCTGTCAGGAGGAAGCTTGTGGAAGGCTACCCAAAACGTTTGACCCAAGTTAAACAATTTAAAGGCAATGCTACCAAATACTAATTGAGTGTATGTAAACTTCTGACCCACTGGGAATGTGATGAAAGAAAGAAAATCTGAAATAAATCATTCTCTCTACTATTATTCTGACATTTCACATTCTTAAAAATAAAGTGGTGATCCTAACTGACCTAAGACAGGGAATGTTTACTAGGATTAAATGTCAGGAATTGTGAAAGACTGAGTTTAAATGTATTTGGCTAAGGTGTGTGTAAACTTCAACTGTAAGCGTCCGGGTTTGAGTCCCGCTCCTTGAAAGCGGCAGCTCTACCCTTTAGCTCAGTGCGGATGTTGCCTGTAATCCATGGCTTCTGGTTGGGGTATGTACGTACGGTCACTGTGGGGACGACGTCATCGTTGCACTTATTGATGAAGCCAGTGACTGGTGTGGTGTACTCCTCAATGCTATATGAAGAATCCCGGAACATATTCCAGTCTGTGCTAGCAAAACAGTCCTGTAGCTTAGCATCTGCATCATCTGACCACTTCGTTATTAACCGAGTCACTGGTGCTTCCTGCTTTAGTTTTTGCTTATAAGCAGGAATCAGGAGGATAGAGTTATGGTCAGATTTGCCAAATGGAGGGCGAGGGAGAGCTTTGTATGCGTCTCTGTGTGTGGAGTAAAGGTGGTCTAGAGTTTTTTTCCCTCTGGTTGCACATTTAACATGCTGGTAGAAATTAGGTAGAACGGATTTACGTTTCCCTGCATTAAAGTCCCCGGCCACTAGGAGCGCTGCCTCTGGATGACCGTTTTCCTGTTTACTTATGGCCTTATACAGCTCATTCAGTGCAATTTTAATGCCAGCATTGGTTTGTGGTGGTAAATAGACAGCTACGAAGAATATAGATGAAAACTCTCTTGGTAAATAGTGTGGTCTACAACTTATCATGAGATACTCTACCTCAGGCGAGCAAAACCTCGAGACTTCCTTAGTATTAGATTTTATGAACCAGCTGTTGTTTACAAATATACACAGACCGCCACCCCTTGTCTTACCGGAGTCAGCCGTTCTATCCTGCCGATGTAGCGTATATCCCGCCAGCTGTATGTTATCCATGTCGTCGTTCAGCCACGACTCGGTGAAACATAAGATATTACAGTTTTTAATGTCCCGTTGGTAGGATAAGCGTAATCTTAGGTCGTCTAATTTATTTTCCAATGATTGAAGATTGGCTAATAGGATTGATGGAAGAGGCAGTTTACTCAGTCGCCGTCGGATCCTCAAGGCACCCCGACCTACGTCCACGATATCTCTGTCTCTTTCTCATGCGAATGACAGGGATTTGGGCCTTGTCGGGTATCTGTAGGATATCCTTCGCGTCCGACTCGTTGATGTTAAAATCTTCGTCCAATACGAGGTGAGTAATCGCTGTCCTGATATCCAGAAGCTCTTTTTGGTCAAATAACGCGAAAACACACTCATAATAGTACAATTGGTTAGAGGGCTGTAAAACGGCTGACATCTTCTTCGGTGCCATTTCCTCATGTAATAGAATTACTTGTTTACTGTTCTAATAATGTCGGGAACCAGTTTATAATATAATGACTTGTTTACTGTTCTAATAATGTTGGGAACCAGTTTATAATAGAATTACTTGTTTACTGTTCTAATAATGTCGGGAACCAGTTTATAATAGAATGACTTGTTTACTGTTCTAATAATGTCGGGAACCAGTTTATAATTGAATGACATGTTTACTGTTCTAATAATGTCGGGAACCAGTTTATAATAGAATGACTTGTTTACTGTTCTAATAATGTTGGGAACCAGTTTATAATAGAATGACTTGTTTACTGTTCTAATAATGTCGGGAACCAGTTTATAATAGAATGACTTGTTTACTGTTCTAATAATGTCGGGAACCAGTTTATAATAGCAATAAGGAACCTCAGTGGTCTGTGGTGTATGGTCAATATACCACGGCTATGCTCCATGTTGCGTTGTGCCTAAACAGCCCTTCTCTGTGGTATATTGGTCATATACCACACCCCCTCGGGGCTTATTGCTTAAATGTACTGTCATGTGTTACGTTACGTTACGCCATGCCATGCCATGCCATGCCAATACTATTTCATGTGTATTTCAGTGCTGTGTGGTATGACCAGATGTCGTACCCCACCTCCTGGCAACTGGACCCTACAGAGGGACCCAACAGGGAGAGAAGACGGCTGCAGAGGTGTTACCTCACCATCCCCAACAAGTACCTGCTCAAAGACCGACGCAAGCCAGACGGTACGCTGACCCTAACCCATAACCCCTAACCCTCACCATCCCCAACAAGTACCTGCTCAAAGACCGACGCAAGCCAGACGGTACGCTGACCCTAACCCCTAACCCCTAACCCTCACCATCCCCAACAAGTACCTGCTCAAAGACCGACGCAAGCCAGACGGTACGCTGACCCTAACCCATAACCCCTAACCCTCACCATCCCCAACAAGTACCTGCTCAAAGACCGACGCAAGCCAGACGGTACGCTGACCCTAACCCATAACCCCTAACCCTCACCATCCCCAACAAGTACCTGCTCAAAGACCGACGCAAGCCAGACGGTACGCTGACCCTAACCCATAACCCCTAACCCTCACCATCCCCAACAAGTACCTGCTCAAAGACCGACGCAAGCCAGACGGTACGCTGACCCTAACCCATAACCCCTAACCCTCACCATCCCCAACAAGTACCTGCTTAAAGACCGACACAAGCCAGACAGTAAAGACACCAATTGTTAGTCAGTCTGATCTTCAGCACCACAGGGGACGCCATTCTAACCGCTGCAAAAAAGAGCTTTCCAGATAGTATCTTCATTTTCAGAAATCTGGAAACCTGCTATGATTGAATCCAGCTTTATTGATACCGTTTGATCCTGTCTGTCTGTCTGTCTGTCTGTCTGTCTCTGTCTGTCTATCTCTCCTTTCAGACTCTGCAGCGCGGGCTCCACTGTCCTTCCTGTTTGAGGATAAGACCCACTCCTCCTTCTCCTCCACGGTGAAAGACAAGGCCACCAGCGAACCAATCAGATTCACCAGACGCTGCATCAGTGTTGCTCCGTCTAGAGAGACCTCAGGAGAGCTGCTGCTGGGTAAGAAACCACCTAACAGCCACGTTCCTGTATCTAGCTTGGTGTTCCTGTATCTAGCTTGGTGTTCCTGTATCTAGCTTGGTGCTCCTGTATCTAGCTTGGTGTTCCTGTATCTAGCTTGGTGTTCCTGTATCTAGCTTGGTGTTCCTGTATCTAGCTTGGTGCTCCTGTATCTAGCTTGGTGCTCCTGTATCTAGCTTGGTGTTCCTGTATCTAGCTTGGTGTTCCTGTATCTAGCTTGGTGTTCCTGTATCTAGCTTGGTGTTCCTGTATCTAGCTTGGTGTTCCTGTATCTAGCTTGGTGTTCCTGTATCTAGCTTGGTGTTCCTGTATCTAGCTTGGTGCTCCTGTATCTAGCTTGGTGTTCCTGTATCTAGCTTGGTGTTCCTGTATCTAGCTTGGTGTTCCTGTATCTAGCTTGGTGCTCCTGTATCTAGCTTGGTGCTCCTGTATCTAGCTTGGTGTTCCTGTATCTAGCTTGGTGTTCCTGTATCTAGCTTGGTGTTCCTGTATCTAGCTTGGTGTTCCTGTATCTAGCTTGGTGTTCCTGTATCTAGCTTGGTGTTCCTGTATCTAGCTTGGTGCTCCTGTATCTAGCTTGGTGTTCCTGTATCTAGCTTGGTGCTCCTGTATCTAGCTTGGTGTTCCTGTATCTAGCTTGGTGTTCCTGTATCTAGCTTGGTGTTCCTGTATCTAGCTTGGTGTTCCTGTATCTAGCTTGGTGTTCCTGTATCTAGCTTGGTGTTCCTGTATCTAGCTTGGTGTTCCTGTATCTAGCTTGGTGTTCCTGTATCTAGCTTGGTGCTCCTGTATCTAGCTTGGTGCTCCTGTATCTAGCTTGGTGCTCCTGTACTGCTTGGGCTCCTGTATCTAGCTTGGTGCTCCTGTATCTAGCTTGGTGCTCCTGTATCTAGCTTGGTGCTCCTGTATCTAGCTTGGTGCTCCTGTATCTAGCTTGGTGTTCCTGTATCTAGCTTGGTGCTCCTGTATCTAGCTTGGTGTTCCTGTATCTAGCTTGGTGTTCCTGTATCTAGCTTGGTGTTCCTGTATCTAGCTTGGGTGTTCTGTTCCTGTATCTAGCTTGGTGTTCCTGTATCTAGCTTGGTGTTCCTGTATCTATCTTGGTGTTCCTGTATCTAGCTTGGTGTTCCTGTATCTAGCTTGGTGCTCCTGTATCTAGCTTGGTGTTCCTGTATCTAGCTTGGTGTTCCTGTATCTAGCTTGGTGCTCCTGTATCTAGCTTGGTGCTCCTGTATCTAGCTTGGTGCTCCTGTATCTAGCTTGGTGTTCCTGTATCTAGCTTGGTGTTCCTGTATCTAGCTTGGTGTTCCTGTATCTAGCTTGGTGCTCCTGTATCTAGCTTGGTGCTCCTGTATCTAGCTTGGTGTTCCTGTATCTAGCTTGGTGTTCCTGTATCTAGCTTGGTGTTCCTGTATCTAGCTTGGTGCTCCTGTATCTAGCTTGGTGTTCCTGTATCTAGCTTGGTGTTCCTGTATCTAGCTTGGTGCTCCTGTATCTAGCTTGGTGTTCCTGTATCTAGCTTGGTGCTCCTGTATCTAGCTTGGTGCTCTGGACGTGGTCCCCATGAGGCTGTCTGAGGCTCTAGTTACTGGTGTGCTCTCTACTCACACAGTGACCTTTCGACCCTCTGCATCCACAGGGAAGTCTGGGATGTACTTTGTGGAGGATAACGCGGCTGACGCCCATGACAACCAGGTAACCCTCTCTCTACACATGCACATTTAGAAAAATGATAGTGGTGTTGTTGTCTGGCTTCTCACTGTGTGTGTCGTGACAGAGTATCCAGGGTGAGACAGAGGCAGCATCATTCTCTTGGACCTATGAGGAGATAAAGGAGGTCCATAAGAGGTGGTGGCAGCTCAGAGACAACGCTGTAGAGATCTTCCTCTCCAACGGACGGACCCTGCTGCTAGCCTTCCACACCACCAAGGTAGGGTAGACTAAAGAGCACAGACCCTGCTGCTAGCCTTCCACACCAGGGTTGATAGTTCAGCATCTCCCTCTGTTTTACAAATGTGTCTTTTATACTGAACAAAAATATAAACGCAACATGTAAAGTGTTGGTCCCATGTTTCATGAGCGGAATTAAAAGATCACAGAAATGTTCCATACGCACAAAAAGTTTATTTCTCTCAAGTGTTGTGCACATACAGCACCAGTCAAAAGTTTGGACACACCTACTCCTACTATTTTTACTATTTTCTACATTGTAGAATAATAGTGAAGACATCAAAACGATGAAATAACACATATGGAATCATGTAGTAACCAAAAATAGTGTTAAACAAATCAAAATATATTTTATATTTGAGATTCTTCAAAGTAGCCACCCATTGCCTTGATGACAGCTTTGCACACTCTTGGCATTCTCTCAACCAGCTTCATGAGGTAGTCACCTGGAATGCATTTCAATTAACAGGTATGCCTTCTTAAAAATTAATTTGTGGAATTTATTTCCTTCTTAATGCGTTTGAGCCAATCAGTTGTTTTGTGACAAGGTAAGAGAACAGCTCAAATAATCAAAGAGAAACGACAGTCCATCATTACTTTAAGACATGAAGGTCAGTCAATCTGGAAAATGTAAAGAACTTTGAAAGTTTCTTCAAGTGCAGTCGCAAAAACCATCAAGCACTATGATGAAACTGGCTCTCATGAGCACCGCCTCAGGAATGGAAGACCCAGAGTTACCTCTGCTGCAGAGGATAAGTTCATTAGAGTTACCAGCCTCAGAAATTGCAGCCCAAATAAATGCTTCACAGAGTTCAAGTCACAGACACATCTCAACATTAATCAGGCCTTCATGGTCGAATTGCTGCAAAGAAACCACTACTAAAGGACACCAATAAGAAGAAGAGACTTGCTTGGGCCAAGAAACACGAGCAATGGACATTAGACTGGTGGAAATCTGTCCTTTGGTCTGATGAGTCCAAATTTGAGATTTTTGGTTCCAACCGCCATGTCTTTGTGAGACGCAGAGTAGGTGAACGGATGATCTCCACATGTGTGGTTCCCACCGTGAAGCATGGAGGAGGAGGTGTGATGGTGTGGGGGTGCTTTGCTGGTGACACTGTCTGTGATTTATTTAGAATTCAAGGCACACTTAACCAGCATGGCTACCACAGCATTCTGCAGCGATACGCCATCCCATCTGGTTTTGCGCTTAGTGGGACAGTCATTTGTTTTTCAACAGGACAATGACCCAACACACCTCCAGGCTGTGTAAGGGCTATTTGACCAAGAAGGAGAGTGATGGAGTGCTGCATCAGATGACCTGGCCTTCACATTCACCCGACCTCAACCCAATTGAGATGGTTTGGGTTGAGTTGGATCGCAGAGTGAAGGAAAAGCAGCCAACAAGTGCTCAGCATATGTGGGAACTCCTTCAAGACTTTTGGAAAAGCATTCCAGGTGAAGCTGGTTGAGAGAATGTCAACAGTGTGCAAAGCTGTCATCAAGGCAAAGGTTGGCTACTTTGAAGAATCTCAAAAACATAATATATTTTGATTTGTTTAACACTTTTTTGGTTGCTACATGATTCCATATGTGTTATTTCATAGTTGTGATGTCTTCACTATTATTCTACAATGTTGAAAATAGTAAAAATAAAGAAAAACCTTTGAATGAGTAGGTGTGTCCAAACTTTTGACTGGTACTGTATGTGTTTACATCCCTGTTAGTGAGTATTTCTCCTTTGCCAAGATAATCCATCCACCTGACAGGTGTGGCATATCAAGAAGCTGATTAAACAGTATGATCATTACACAGGTGCACCTTGTGCAGGGGACAATAAAAGGCCCCTCTAAAATGTGCAGTTTTGTCACACAACACAATGCCACAGATGTCTCAAGTTTTGAGGGAGCATGCAATTGGCATGCTGACTGCAGGAATGTCCACCAGAGCTGTTGCCAGATAATTGAATGTTCATTTCTCTACCATAAGCCGCCTCCAACGTCGTTTTAGATAATTTGGCAGTACGTCCAACCGGCCTCAATCGCAGACCACGTGTTTGAAGTCATGTGGGCAAGCGGTTTGCTGATGTCAATGTTGTGAACAGAGTGCCCCATGGTGGCGGTGGGGTTATGGTATGGGCAGGCATAAGCTACGGACAACGAACACAATTGGCAATTTGAATGAACAAAAATACCATGACGAGATCCTGAGGCCCATTTTTTTTATGTATCTGTGACCAACAGATGCATACAGTTGAAGTCGGAAGTTTACATACACCTTAGCCAAATACATTTAAACTCCGTTTATCACAATTCCTGACATTTAATCCTAATAAAAATACCCTGTCTTAGGTCAGTTAGGATCACCACTTTATTTTAAGAATGTGAAATGTCAGAATAATAGTAGAGAGAATGATTTATTTCAGCTTTTATTTCTTTCATCACATTCCCAGTGGGTCAGAAGTTTACATACACTCAATTCATATTTGGTAGCAATGCCTTTAAATTGTTTAACTTGGGTCAAACGTTTCAGGTAGCCTTCCACAAGATTCCCACAATAAGTTGGGTGAATTTTGGCCATTCCTCCTGACAGAGCTGGTGTAACTGAGTCAGGTTTGTAGGCCTCCTTGCTCACACACGCTTTTTCAGTTCTGCCCACACATTTTCTATAGGATTGAGGTCAAGGCTTTGTGATGGCCACTCCAATACCTTGACTTTGATGTCCTTAAGCCATTGTGCCACAACTTTGGAAGTATGCTTGGGGTCATTGTCCATTTGGAAGACCCATTTGCTACCAAGCTTTAACTTCCTGACTGATGTCTTGAGATGTTGCTTCAATATATCCACATAATTTTCCTTCCTCATGATGCCATCTATTTTGTGAAGTGCACCAGTCCCTCCTTCAGCAAAGCACCCCCACAGCATGATACTGCCACCCCTGTGCTTCACGGTTGGGATGGTGTTTTACGGCTTGCAAGCAACCCCCTTTTTCCTCCAAACATAACGATGGTCATTATGGCCAAACAGTTCTATTTTTGTTTCATCATACCAGAGGACATTTCTCCAAAAAGTACGATCTTTGTCCCCATGTGCAGTTGCAAACCATAGTCTGGCTTTTTTATGGCGGTTTTGGAGCAGTGGCTTCTTCCTTGCTGAGCGGCCTTTCAGGTTATGTCGATATAGGACTTGTTTTACTGTAGATACTTTTGTACCTGTTTCCTCCAGCATCTTCACAAGGTCTTTTGCTGTTGTTCTGGGATTGATTTGCACTTTTCGCACCAAAGTACGTTCATCTCTAGGAGACAGAACGCGTCTCATTCCTGAGCGGTATGACGGCTGCGTTGTCCCATGGTGTTTATACTTGCGTACTATTGTTTGTACAGATGAACGTGGTACCTTCAGCCATTTGGAAATTGCTCCCAAGGATGAACCAGACTTGTGGAGGTCTGCAATTTTTTTTCTGAGGTCTTGGCTGATTTCTTTTGATTTTCCCATGATGTCAAGCAAAGAGGCACTGAGTTTGAAGGTAGGCCTTGAAATACATCCACAGGTACACCTCCAATTGACTCAAATGATGTCAATTAGCCTATCAGAAGCTTCTAAAGCCATGACATCATTTTCTGGAATTTTCCAAGCTGTTTAAAGGCACAGTCAACTTAGTGTATGTAAACTTCTGACCCACTGGAATTGTGATACAGTGAATTATAAGTGAAATAATCTGTCTGTAAACAATTGTTGGAAGAATTACTTGTGTCATACACAAAGTAGATGTCCTAACCGACTTGCCAAAACTATAGTCTGTTAACAAGAAATTTGTGGAGTGGTTGAAAAACGAGTTTTAATGACTCCAATCTAAGTGTATGTATCTTCTGACTTCAACAGTATCTGTATTCCCAGTCATTTGAAATCCATAGATTAGGGCCTAATGAATTTATTTCAATTGACTGATTTCCTCATATGAACTTTAACTCAGAAAAATCAATGAAATTGTTGCATGTTGCGTTTATATTTTTTTTCAGTATAGAATCTCCTGGCTAGCATTTTGGAGCATGTAGCAATGCTAGTGGAAAGTGATTGTATCAGCTAGCGTAACGTAACACAAAAGTGAACTATCCCTTTAAGTCAAACACTTGTAATGAATTAAAATGTTCTATTTCCTGTTCCATGACAATGTGTAACACAACATCCTGCATAGCTAATTGTGTTCTGGCTTTGCATCCTTCCTTTGATAATAAATTAGGCTTAGTATTAGTATTACACATGCAATAAAACGAGATTTTCCATTTCCTGTTCCCGTAGTTCCGTGATGACGTGTACCACAACATCCTGACCTCCGACCTTCCCAATCTCCTGGAGTACGGCAACCTCACGGCGTTAACACACCTGTGGGGCTCGGGGCAGATCAGTAACTTTGAGTACTTGACGCACCTCAACAAGCACTCTGGGCGGAGCTTCAACGACCTGATGCAGTACCCTGTCTTCCCCTTCATACTGAAGGACTACATCTCCGAGACACTGGACCTTGGGGACAGCGCCATCTACAGGTCAGTTATAGTACTAGCACTGTTAGCTAAGGGTCAGTGTTATAAGGAACTGACACTACGGATCAAAAGGAAAACAGAACAGGAAGCTTTTTCTCTTCCCCCTTTATCCCTTGTTTTCTGGACTGTTTTCAGGAACCTGAACAAGCCCATAGCAGTCCAGTCTAAAGAGAAGGAGGATCGCTATGTGGACAATTACAAGGTAAACAGCTTAGTACAGCCTTACTGTATTACTGCTTCTTGGATAGGAAATCTAAATCTAATCAGAATATGTGATCGGTGTACAGTTTTTCTCATGTATTCATTACACATCATATAAACTGGAGCTTCTGCTTGAACTCTTTCAGTACCTAGAGGAGGAGTATCGGAAGGGAGCGCATGACGACGATCCCATGCCTCCTGTCCAGCCGTACCATTATGGATCTCACTACTCCAACTCCGGCACTGTGCTACACTTCCTGGTTCGCATGCCTCCGTTCACCAAGATGTTCCTGGCCTACCAGGGTAAGTCACCACACAGATGTGTACTTCTTTAATGCAGCTGACGGAAACCTTCTCTTCTTGAAAATAGCTCTTTTCATTCAGCTGCAAAAAAAGCTCTTAGAAAGGATCACTGACATCTACATTATATTATTAGCATGATCCTGATCTGATCCATTACAATGGCTGGCCTGCATCAAAGGCTTTCTCTGTAAGGCTTTCTCTTCTCCTCAAACTTCTCTCTGACTCCCCCTCTCTGACTCCCCCTCTTCTCCCCTTCTATGTCTCTTACTCTCTACCTGCTCATCCAGCTTGCTCTCTTCGTCTGCTCTTGTCTTTCCAACCCTCTTCCTCTGCTCTTGTCTTTCCAACCCTCTTCGTCTGAAGCCTCTCATCTTTGTTGATAGGAGTGTAATTGAATGCAGAAGCGGTGGTTCACACGAGGCCCTGAAAGGAAGCTCATTCACAAAGATCAAGCTTTACAGTGTGTTTGTCCCGTATCATCAGAACACAGGTTTAATTACTGTGTGTTACAGATCAGAGCTTTGATATCCCCGACCGGACGTTCCACTCTATGAATACAACATGGCGTCTCTCCTCCTTCGAGAGCATGACTGACGTCAAGGAGCTAATACCGGAGTTCTTCTACCTCCCTGAGTTCCTGGTCAACAGAGAGGGTAAAACCACACACACCCTCTATAACCTGTCTATATAACTCCTCTATACCTCCCTGAGTTCCTGGTCAACACAAACACCTCTATAACCTGTCTATATAACTCCTCTATACCTCCCTGAGTTCCTGGTCAACACACACACATCTCTATAACCTGTCTATATAACTCCTCTATACCTCCCTGAGTTCCTGGTCAACACACACATCTCTATAACCTGTCTATATAACTCCTCTATACCTCCCTGAGTTCCTGGTCAACACACACACCTCTATAACCTGTCTATATAACTCCTCTATACCTCCCTGAGTTCCTGGTCAACACACACACCTCTATAACCTGTCTATATAACTCCTCTATACCTCCCTGAGTTCCTGGTCACACACATCTCTATAACCTGTCTATATAACTCCTCTATACCTCCCTGAGTTCCTGGTCAACACACCACACCTCTATAACCTGGTCTATATACACTCCTCTATACCTCCCTGAGTTCCTGGTCAACACACACATCTCTATAACCTGTCTATATAACTCCTCTATACCTCCCTGAGTTCCTGGTCAACACACACACCTCTATAACCTGTCTATATAACTCCTCTATACCTCCCTGAGTTCCTGGTCAACACAACACCTCTATAACTGTCTATATAACTCCTCTATACCTCCCTGAGTTCCTGGTCAACACACATCTCTATAACCTGTCTATATAACTCCTCTATACCTCCCTGAGTTCCTGGTCAACACACACACCTCTATAACCTGTCTATATAACTCCTCTATACCTCCCTGAGTTCCTGGTCAACACAACCTAAAACCGTATATATAACCCTATCCCTGAGTTCTATAACCTGTCTATATAACTCCTCTATACCTCCCTGAGTTCCTGGTCAACACACACACCCTCTATAACCTGTCCTATATAACTCCTCTATACCTCCCTGAGTTCCTGGTCAACACACACATCTCTATAACCTGTCTATATAACTCCTCTATACCTCCCTGAGTTCCTGGTCAACACACACATCTCTATAACCTGTCTATATAACTCCTCTATACCTCCCTGAGTTCCTGGTCAACACACACACCTCTATAACCTGTCTATATAACTCCTCTATACCTCCCTGAGTTCCTGGTCAACACACACACCTCTATAACCTGTCTATATAACTCCTCTATACCTCCCTGAGTTCCTGGTCAACACACACACCTCTATAACCTGTCTATATAACTCCTCTATACCTCCCAGAGTTCCTGGTCAACACACGCATCTCTATAACCTGTCTATATAACTCCTCTATACCTCCCTGAGTTCCTGGTCAACACACACATCTCTATAACCTGTCTATATAACTCCTCTATACCTCCCTGAGTTCCTGGTCAACACACACACCTCTATAACCTGTCTATATAACTCCTCTATACCTCCCTGAGTTCCTGGTCAACACACACATCTCTATAACCTGTCTATATAACTCCTCTATACCTCCCTGAGTTCCTGGTCAACACACACACCTCTATAACCTGTCTATATAACTCCTCTATACCTCCCAGAGTTCCTGGTCAACACACACACCTCTATAACCTGTCTATATAACTCCTCTATACCTCCCAGAGTTCCTGGTCAACACACACACCTCTATAACCTGTCTATATAACTCCTCTATACCTCCCTGAGTTCCTGGTCAACACACACATCTCTATAACCTGTCTATATAACTCCTCTATACCTCCCTGAGTTCCTGGTCAACACACACACCTCTATAACCTGTCTATATAACTCCTCTATACCTCCCTGAGTTCCTGGTCAACACACACATCTCTATAACCTGTCTATATAACTCCTCTATACCTCCCTGAGTTCCTGGTCAACACACACACCTCTATAACCTGTCTATATAACTCCTCTATACCTCCCTGAGTTCCTGGTCAACACACACACCTCTATAACCTGTCTATATAACTCCTCTATACCTCCCTGAGTTCCTGGTCAACACACACACCTCTATAACCTGTCTATATAACTCCTCTATACCTCCCTGAGTTCCTGGTCAACACACACACCTCTATAACCTGTCTATATAACTCCTCTATACCTCCCTGAGTTCCTGGTCAACACACACACCTCTATAACCTGTCTATATAACTCCTCTATACCTCCCTGAGTTCCTGGTCAACACACACATCTCTATAACCTGTCTATATAACTCCTCTATACCTCATACATCAACCCTACTGTGGAGTTATTTTACCTGCCTGAGTTCCTGGTTAACAGAGAAATGACGAGATGGGCAGAAAACTAATCTGTATTACAGTAAGAAATGCTTTACTGTAGATATCCGTATTACCAGTAAGAAATGCTTTACTGTAGATATCCGTATTACCAGTAAGAAATGCTTTACTGTAGATATCCGTATTACAGTAAGAAATGCTTTACTGTAGATATCTATATTACCAGTAATAAATGCTTTACTGTAGATATCCATATTACCAGTAAGAAATGCTTTAATGTAGATATCCATATTACCAGTAATAAATGCTTTACTGTAGATGTCTGTATTACAGTAAGAAATGCTTTATTGTAGATATCCGTATTACCAGTAATAAATGCTTTACAGTAGATATCCGTATTACCAGTAATAAATGCTTTACTGTAGGGAATGGCCGGCAGGGATGTAGCTCAGTTGATAGAGCATGGTGTTTGCAACGCCAGGGTTGTGGGTTCGATTCCCACAGGGGGTATGAAAAAAATAAAAATAATGTATGCACTAACTGTAAGTCGCTCTGGATAAGAGCGTCTGCTAAATGACTAAAATGTAAATGTATATCCGTATTACCAGTAAGAAATGCTTTACTGTAGATATCCATATTACCAGTAAGAAATGCTTTACTGTAGATATCCGTATTACAGTAAGAAATGATTTACTGTAGATATCCGTATTACCAGTAAGAAATGCTTTACTGTAGATATCCATATTACCATTAAGAAATGCTTTAATGTAGATATCCGTATTACAGTAAGAAATGCTTTACTGTAGATATCGTATTACAGTAAGAAATGCTTTACTGTAGATATCCGTATTACCAGTAAGAAATGCTTTAATGTAGATATCCGTATTACAGTAAGAAATGCTTTACTGTAGATATCCGTATTACCAGTAAGAAATGCTTTAATGTAGATATCCGTATTACAGTAAGAAATGCTTTACTGTAGATATCCATATTACCAGTAAGAAATGCTTTACTGTAGATATCCGTATTACCAGTAAGAAATGCTTTACTGTAGATATCCATATTACAGTAAGACATGCTTTACTGTAGATATCTGTATTACAGTAAGAAATGCTTTACTGTAGACCTCCTTTCCTCTTTCCCTCCAGGTTTTGACTTTGGTGTGCGTCAAAACAGTGAGCGTGTGAACCACGTCAACCTGCCACCCTGGGCGCGTAACGACCCTCGTCTCTTCATCCTGATCCACCGCCAGGCCCTGGAGTCAGACCAGGTCTCTCAGACCCTCTGTCAGTGGATTGACCTGGTGTTTGGGTTGAAACAGAAGGGCAAGGCTGCTGTTCATGCCATCAACGTATTCCACCCAGCTGTGAGTAGCTGTTATATACCTGGGCCATATAAATGCCACCAGACGGAAGGAAACCGACTGGGACAGAGAGGGACTGCCTGGATTTGGACAAAAAAATAAACATTGGATTTTGGTTTAACGTTGCAAAATGTTTTTGTGTGTTCCCTAATGAACACAACCTTGGACAGGAAGAGACATTAGCTTGTATTTTAACTGTTTTCGACAAGTATGTCAATTATATTTTTTTCCCCTCTCCCCTCGTCCGTAGACATACTTCGGTATGGACGTGTCGTCAGTGGAGGACCCGGTGCAGCGGCGTGCGTTGGAGACCATGATCAAGACGTACGGACAGACGCCCAGACAGCTTTTCTCTGCGTCCCACATCAGCAGAGCCGGACCCAGGCTCATTATGGAGGGAGAGCTTCCTGCTGCCATGGGTCTCCTGGTGCAGCTGGCCTTCAGAGAGACCAGGGAACAGGTCAAAGAGATAGTTTACCCGGTAGGTTAAAGGTCAAAGGTTAGGGTTAGTATTTAGGGTCAGGCGTTACGGTCTCCTGGTGCAGCTGGCCTTCAGAGAGACCAGGGAACAGGTCAAAGAGATAGTTTACCCGGTAGGTTAAAGGTCAAAGGTTAGGGTTAGTATTTAGGGTCAGGCGTTACGGTCTCCTGGTGCAGTTGGCCTTCAGAGAGACCAGGGAACAGGTCAAAGAGATAGTTTACCCGGTAGGTTAAAGGTAAAAGGTTAGGGTTAGTATTTAGGGTCAGGCGTTACGGTCTCCTGGTGCAGTTGGACTTCAGAGAGACCAGGGAACAGGTCAAAGAGACTTCTCGTGTCCTCTCTCCTCTTCAAAACCCATTGGATGAGAAGGTCAGAGGGGAGGGACCTCTAGCTTTCTCATCCAATGGGTTTTGAGAAGGAGACAAGGAGAGAGGACGCGAGGAGTATGCAATTGAGACCTTCCAATAGTCTACCCGATAGGTCAAAGTTCAAACTGGGGAGTTATGGGAAGTGTAGCGTAGTCTCCTTGAAAAACAGTTGTTGCTAAGTGGACTTTACTTGCTACATGAAGATGAAGTGATTTGAAGTGAAATTAAATGATATGGGTCTGGGTGGGTTATGCAGTGCTGTTGAATACTCATCCTTCTCCCCTCCATCCTCCACAGAGTCCCCTGTCCTGGATCAAGGGTCTGAAGTGGGGTGAGTATGTGGGCTCGCCCAGCTCTCCTGATCCTGCAGTGTGTTTCAGCCAGCCCCATGGGGAGAGGTTTGGATCGCTTACTGGCTCTCCCTACCAGAGCCATCTGTGGACTGTCACGCAACTTCTGTCTCATGATGATCTACAGCAAGGAACAAGGTGACACATTACCGTTTACTGGAAAAATGATAGATTTCCTAATAGGCTAGTGACAGGGTCTCCACATTTTTTGAAATACCCGAGGCAGATCAAAACACAGCCATGTTTTTTCACATTACTAATGTCTCCCATTCATGAATTGGACGGTTGTGTAAAAATGTTTTACTGCAGAAGTAGTTAAATTGACATATATTATGACTCAAAACATGCAGAATAATGCCCAGCTGTAGGAGTGTGGAGGGGGGACAAACTCATGTAACCCAATAATGCCCAGCTGTAGGAGAGGGGGGAGGGGTTAAAACTCATGTAACCCAATAATGCCCAGCTGTAGGAGAGTGGGGAGGGGTTAAAACTCATGTAACCCAATAATGCCCAGCTGTAGTAGAGTGGGGAGGGGTTAAAACTCATGTAACCCAATAATGCCCAGCTGGAGGAGAGGGGGAGGGGTTAAAACTCATGTAACCCAATAATGCCCAGCTGTAGGAGAGGGGGAGGGGTTAAAACTCATGTAACCCAATAATGCCCAGCTGTAGTAGAGTGGGGAGGGGTTAAAACTCATGTAACCCAATAATGCCCAGCTGTAGGAGAGTGGGGAGGGGTTAAAACTCATGTAACCCAATAATGCCCAGCTGTAGGAGAGTGGGGAGGGGTTAAAACTCATGTAACCCAATAATGCCCAGCTGTAGGAGAGGGGGGAGGGGTTAAAACTCATGTAACCCAATAATGCCCAGCTGGAGGAGAGTGGGGAGGGGTTAAAACTCATGTAACCCAATAATGCCCAGCTGGAGGAGAGGGGGGAGGGGTTAAAACTCATGTAACCCAATAATGCCCAGCTGGAGGAGAGGGGAGGGGTTAAAACTCATGTAACCCAATAATGCCCAGCTGTAGGAGAGGGGAGGGGTTAAAACTCATGTAACCCAATAATGCCCAGCTGTAGGAGAGGGGAGGGGTTAAAACTCATGTAACCCAATAATGCCCAGCTGTAGGAGAGTGGGGAGGGGTTAAAACTCATGTAACCCAATAATGCCAAGCTGTAGGAGAGGGGAGGGGTTAAAACTCATGTAACCCAATAATGCCCAGCTTGATATTGCTAAAATTGGTAATACAATTAGTCAGTTGTCTTCCCTACATACACAAACAAACAGCATTCAATAATTGGCATATACATTAGTCTTACAGAATTCCCACGTGGGCGAGGATATTGGAAATATAATCAAACCTAGTGGATGACAACTTGTTTTTTAACCAGAACAGAATAATTTATAACTTACTTTTTACTACATAACATAGGTACAGCAGATCCCCTTATTGTAATGGACACGTTTAAATGTGCCTTTAGAGGCCATTCAGTACTTATTTCTAAAATGAGTCCCCTGTAGCTCAGTTGGTAGAGCAAGGCGCTTGCAACGCCAGTGTTGTGGGTTCGTTTCCCACGGGGGGCCAGTATGAAAATGTATGCACTCACTAACTGTAAGTCGCTCTGGATAAGAGCGTCTGCTAAATGACTAAAATGTGAAAACAAAAGCAATTTAGGTCAAAAGAGTTCATATTAACAAAGGAAATAGAGGGACTAACAGTACAAATAGATAGCAATAAAAACAGTACCATAGAGGCACAGAATAAGTTACAGGAGAAATTAAAAGAAATGGAGGAACTTATTCAAGAAAGATCAAGTGTAATATATTATAAAAATAAAGCGAACTGGATGGAATATGGGATAAAATGCACCAAATAATTTTTCTTCAACATAGAAATGCTACCAAAAATAATTTACTGAAACTTGTTCCAAAAGCCATATCTCAGACTGCCCATCTTAATCTTTTATTTTTATTGGCCAGTCTGAGATATGGCTTTTTCTTTGCATCTCTGCCTAGAAGGTCAGCATCCCGGAGTCGCCTCTTCACTGTTGACGTTGAGACTGGTGTTTTTAATGAAGCTGCCAATTGAGGACCTGTGAGGAGTCTGTTTCTCAAACTAGACACTCTAATGTATTTGTCCTCTTGCTCAGTTGTTCACCGGGGCCTCCCACTCCTCTTTCTATTCTGGTTAGAGCCAGTTTGCGCTGTTCTGTGAAGAGAGTAGTACACAGCGTTGTACGAGATCTTCAGTTTCTTGGCAATTTCTCGCATAGAATAGCCTTCATTTCTCAGAACAAGAATAGACTGACGAGTTTCAGAAGAAAGTTATTTGTTTCTGGCCATTTTGAGCCTGTAATCGAACCCACAATTGCTGATGCTCCAGATACTCAACTAGTCTCAAGAAGGCCAGTTTTATTGCTTCTTTAATCAGCACAACAGTTTTCAGCTGTGCTAACATAATTGCAAAAGGGTTTTCTAATGATCAATTAGCCTTTTTAAAATGATAAACTTGGATTAGCAAACACAACATGCCATTGGAACACAGGACTGATGGTTGCTGATAATGGGCCTCTGTACGCCTATGAAGATATTCCATTAAAAATCAGCCGTTTCCAGCTACAATAGCCATTTACAACATTAACAATGTCTACACTGTATTTCTGATCAATTTGATGTTATTTTAATGGACAAAAAAAGTACTTTTCTTTCGAAAACAAGGACATTTCTAAGTGACCCCAAACTTTTGAACGGTAGTGTGTGTTTTCGTTTGTCATCTCCACTAACCAAATTTAATTGTAAGGACTCTATTAATAATGTAAAATGAACAGCTGTACAGAAAGACTCATGTGAAGGCCTAATTATGGAGAAGGAACCTCTAGATGCAATTAAAGCCTTCAAGTCAGGACAAACTCCAGGGCTGGATGGCATACCAGTTGAGGTATATCAAATATTGTTTTATGTACTCAGAGGTCCTTTATTAGCATGTTTTAACCACTCCTATAAAAATGGTAGATTATCAGACACTCAACAAGAAGGTCTGATTTCATTATTACTGAAACAGGACCCAGGTGGTAAATATAAAATATAAAAAAGTGGAGACCCCTTACACTTCAGTGTTGTGATGCAAAAATTCTAGCAAAATGCATAGTATTAAAAAGGTATTGTCAGATATTATTCATCCTAATCAGACAGGTTCTTTACATGGACGATACATTGGAGATAATATAAGACAAGTACTGGAAACAATAGAACACTATGAAAAATCTGGGAAACCAGGCCTGCTATTCATAACAGACTTTGAAAAGGCTTTTGATAAAGTACGACTGGAATGTATATATAAACTTTCTGAGAAGTAGCCATTATTTACTATTTTACAGCTAGGATTACTGTATATAACTTTAACCCATTTTATAAGAGAGTCACTTACAGTACATCACAATACATGCTGTTAACTAAAGTCACTTACAGTACATCATAATACATGCTGTTAACTAAAGTCACTTACAGTACATTATAATACATGCTGTTAACTAAAGTCACTTACAGTACATCATAATACATGCTGTTAACTAAAGTCACTTACAGTACATTATAATACATGCTGTTAACTAAAGTCACTTACAGTACATTATAATACATGCTGTTAACTAAAGTCACTTACAGTACATTATAATACATGCTGTTAACTAAAGTCACTTACAGTACATCATAATACATGCTGTTAACTAAAGTCACTTACAGTACATTATAATACATGCTGTTAACTAAAGTCACTTACAGTACATTATAATACATGCTGTTAACTAAAGTCACTTACAGTACATTATAATACATGCTGTTAACTAAAGTCACTTACAGTACATTAATACATGCTGTTAACTAAAGTCACTTACAGTACATCATAATACATGCTGTTAACTAAAGTCACTTACAGTACATTATAATACATGCTGTTAACTAAAGTCACTTACAGTACATTATAATACATGCTGTTAACTAAAGTCACTTGCAGTACATTATAATACATGCTGTTAACTAAAGTCACTTGCAGTACATTATAATACATGCTGTTAACTAAAGTCACTTACAGTACATTATAATACATGCTGTTAACTAAAGTCACTTGCAGTACATTATAATACATGCTGTTAACTAAAGTCACTTACAGTACATTATAATACATGCTGTTAATAAAGTCACTTACAGTACATTATAATACATGCTGTTAACTAAAGTCACTTACAGTACATTATAATACATGCTGTTAATAAAGTCACTTGCAGTACATTATAATACATGTTTAGTATGTGTCTGTGATCCATAGGGGCCCTGGTCAAACGTAGTGCACTATATAGGGAATAGGGTGCTATTTGGGACAAACACAGTACTGACCCTCTCTCCCTCTGTGTCTCTAGGTGTGAGGAGTACTGACCCTCTCTCCCTCTGTGTCTCTAGGTGTGAGGAGTACTGACCCTCTCTCCCTCTGTGTCTCTAGGTGTGAGGAGTACTGACCCTCTCTCCCTCTGTGTCTCTAGGTGTGAGGAGTACTGACCCTCTCTCCCTCTGTGTCTCTAGGTGTGAGGAGTACTGACCCTCTCTCCCTCTGTGTCTCTAGGTGTGAGGAGTACTGACCCTCTCTCCCTCTGTGTCTCTAGGTGTGAGGAGTATGCACAGTACAGATATCCAGTGGTCTGCCATCTTGAGTTGGGGCTATGCTGACAACATGCTGAGGCTAAAGAGCAAACAGAGTGAACCGCCCATCAACTTCATACAGTGCTCTCCACTACACCAGGTAAACTATCGTACCAAACCTTTAAGATCGCTAAGCCCTAAAGGTAGATTTGTACAGCTGACCAAAGATTAACAACAGGAACCGGGATCCATAGATTTCCCAGGCGAGCTCCCTCCCACCAAGCTTGTTAACTGAAGTGAATTACAGTACATCACAATACATGTTTAGTATGTTTCTGTGATCCATAGGGGCCCTGGTCAAAAGTAGTGCACTATATAGGGAATAGGACACAAACACACTCTCTTGAGGCTGTTAATGACAGATGGAGAAATAGGAGACTCCACAGCACCTTGAGGCTGTTAATGACAGATGGAGAAATAGGAGACTCCACAGCACCTTGAGGCTGTTAATGACAGATGGAGAAATAGGAGACTCCACAGCACCTTGAGGCTGTTAATGACAGATGGAGAAATAGGAGACTCCACAGCACCTTGAGGCTGTTAATGACAGATGGAGAAATAGGAGACTCCACAGCACCTTGAGGCTGTTAATGACAGATGGAGAAATAGGAGACTCCACAGCACCTTGAGGCTGTTAATGACAGATGGAGAAATAGGAGACTCCACAGCACCTTGAGGCTGTTAATGACAGATGGAGAAATAGGAGACTCCACAGCACCTTGAGGCTGTTAATGACAGATGGAGAAATAGGAGACTCCACAGCACCTTGAGGCTGTTAATGACAGATGGAGAAATAGGAGACTCCACAGCACCTTGAGGCTGTTAATGACAGATGGAGAAATAGGAGACTCCACAGCACCTTGAGGCTGTTAATGACAGATGGAGAAATAGGAGACTCCACAGCACCTTGAGGCTGTTAATGACAGATGGAGAAATAGGAGACTCCACAGCACCTACTGTATGAAGAAGACTCCCCATTCAGCTTTGTTAATCATTCCCTCTCTCTCTAGGTAACAGCGTGTGCCTGGGTGTCTGATGGTTGTCAGCTGTTTACCGGCAGTAGATGTGGAGTCATCACGGCCTACATTAACCGCTTCAGTACATCTACTGTGAGTAGTACAAGCCTATCCTCCTCTCTCTCTCTCTCTCCTCTCTCTCTCTCTCTCTCTCTCTCGCTCGTCCTCTCCTTTCTCTCTCTCCTTCTCTCTCTCTCTCTCCTGCGTCCTCTCGCTATCTCTTTCTCTCTCTCCTCTTCGTCTCTGCTCTCTCTCGCTCTCTCCTCTCTCTCTCTCCTCTCTCCCTAAATTATAAATATATAATATAATATATATATATTATATACACACTACATGACCAAAAGTATGTGGACACCTGCTCCTCGAACATCTCATTCCAAAATCTTGGGCATTAATATGGAGTTGGTCCCCCCTTTGCTGCTATAACAGCCTCCACTCTTCTGGGAAGGCTTTCCACTAGATGTTGGAACATTGCTGTGGGGACTTGCTTCCATTCAGCCACAAGAGCATTAGTGAGGTCGGGCACTGATGTTTGGTGATTGGGCCTGGCTCGCAGTCGGCGTTCCAATTCATCCCAAAGGTGTTCGATGGGGTTGAGGTCAGGGCTCTGTGCAGGCCAGTCAAGTTCTTCCACACCGATCTCGACAAACCATTTCTGTATAGACCTCGCTTCGTGCATGGGGACATTGTCATGCTGAAACAGGAAAGGACCTTCCCCAAACTGTTGCCACTAAGTTGGAAGCACAGAATCGTCTAGAATGTCATTGTATGCTGTAGCATTAAGATTTCCCTTCACTGGAACTAAGGGGCCTAGCCCAAACCATAAAAAAACATTATTCATCCTCCACCAAACTTTACAGTGCATTGGGGCAGGTAGCGTTCTCCTGGCATCCGCCAAACTCAGATTAGTCCCTTGGACTGCCAGATGGTGAAGCATGATTCATCACTCCAGAGAACTTCCACTGCTCCAGAGTCCAATGGCGGCGAGCTTTACACCACTCCAGCCGACGCTTGGCATTGCTCATGGTGATTTTAGGCTTGTGTGCGGCTGCTCGGCCATGGAAACCCATTTCATGAAGCCCCCAACAAACAGTTCTAATGCTGACGTTGCTTCCAGAGGCAGTTTGGAACTCGGTAGTGAGTGTTGCAACCGAGAACAGACGATTTTTACGCAGTACACGCTTCAGCACTCGGCGGTCCCCGTTCTGTGAGCTTGTGTGGCCTACCACTTCGTGGCTGAGCGGTTGTTGCTCCTAGACGTTTCCACTTCACAATAACAGCACTTCGATTTGTCTGTCCATAACACTTTTTTCCAATCTTCCTCTGTCCAGTGTTCTTTTGCCTATCTTAATCTTTTCTTTTTATTGGCCAGTCTGAGATATGGCTTTTTCTTTGCAACTCTGCCTAGAAGGTCAGCATCCCGGAGTCGCCTCTTCACTGTTGACGTTGAGACTGGTGTTTTGCGGGTACTATTTAATGAAGCTGCCAGTTGATGACCTGTGAGGCATCTGTTTCTCAAACTAGACACTCTAATGTATTTGTCCTCTTGCTCAGTTGTGCACCGGGGCCTCCCACTCCTCTTTCTATTATGGTTAGAGCCAGTTTGTGCTGTTCTGTGAAGGGAGTAGTACACAGCGTTGTACGAGATCTTCAGTTTCTTGGCAATTTCTCGCATGGAATAGCCTTCATTTCTCAGAACAAGAATAGACTGACGAGTTTCAGAAGAAAGTTATTTGTTTCTGGCCATTTTGAGCTTTGAGTTTTATTGCTTCTTTAATCAGCACAACAGTTTTCAGCTGTGCTAACATAATTGCAAAAGGGTTTTCTAATGATCAATTAGCCTTTTAAAATGATAAACTTGGATTAGCAAACACAACATGCCATTGGAACACAGGACTGATGGTTTCTGATAATGGGCCTCTGTACGCCTATGTAGATATTCCATTAAAAATCAGCTGTTTCCAGCTACAATAGCCATTTACAACATTAACAATGTCTACACTGTATTTCTGATCAATTTGATGTTATTTTAATGGACAAAAAAAAATTGCTTTTCTTTCGAAAACAAGAATTTCTAAGTGACCCCAAACTTTTGAACAGTAGCATATGTTAACATTACCAAAGTAAGTGGAATAGATAATAAACAAAAGTGAAATAAACAATAAATATTAACAGTAAACATTACACTCAGAAGTTCCAAAAGAATAAAGACATTTCAAATGTCATATTATGTCTATATACAGTGTTGTAACAATGTGCAAATAGTTAAAGTACAAAAGGGAAAATAAATAAACATAAATATGGGTTGTATTTACAATGGTGTTTGTTCTTCACTGGTTGCCCTTTTCTTGTGGCAACAGGTCACAAATCTTGCAGCTGTGATGGAACACTGTGGTTTTTCACCCAGTAGATAAGGGAGTTTATCAAAATTGGGTTTGTTTTCTAATTCTTTGTGGGTCTGTGTAATCAGAGGGAAATATGTGTCTCTAATATGGTCATACATTTGGCAGGAGGTTAGGATATGCAGCTCAGTTTCCACCTCATTTTGTGGGCAGTGTGCACATAGCCTGTCTTCTCTTGAGAGCCAGGTCTCTCTCTCTCTCTTTAACAGCACCACATTGAGTACAGTACCGTGGGTCTCCATGGCAACACCCTCAGTCACCCTCCCCCTCCACCCATCCTCCTCTCTCCATCCTTCCGTCCGTCTGCCTCCACATCAACACCCACTGACCACCATTATCCCTCCCCTAGACCCCCACAGTGCATACTCTATGTCTCGCTCCATCGCTCTCTCCCTCCCTCTCTATCTCTCTCTCACTCTCTCACTCTCTCTCTCTCTCTCTCTCTCTCTCTCTCTCTCTCTCTATCAATTGAATTAAATTAAATTCATTAGACTTTATTGACATGGCAAGTTCAATAACTTACATTGTCAAAGTATAATTATTTGTACTGAATGATAATTTTGGGAAAGAAAGATTCTCTTAGGTCTGAGTATTTGTCACAGTGTAATAGGAAATGCAGCTCTGTCTCTACCTCTCCCCGGGGGCAGAGTGAGCACAGCCTGTCCTCTCTGGGCAGCCAGGTTTGCCTGTGACGACCGGTCTCTATAGCCAGACTGTGCTCACTGAGTCTGTACCTAGTCATTGTTTTCCTCAGTTTTCTATCAGTCACAGTGGTCAGATAGTCTGCCACCATGTACTGTCTGTTTAGAGCCAAATAGCATTGAAGTTGACTTAGATTTTCTGTGGTGTCTTTGCAATAGGTGATATATTTTTATTTTTGCTTTGTGATGATTTGGTTGGGCCAGATTTTCTGAGTGCTGTCTTGAGGCTCTATGGTTTGGGTTAGTGAACTGAGCCTCAGAACCAGCTGGCTGAGGGGACTCTTCTCTTGATTCATCTCTTGACATAGTAGAGCTGTGTGATGGAATGTTTTGGGGTCACTTGTTTTTAGATGGTTGTAAAATGTTATGGCTTTTTTTTCTATTTGAATAAGGAGGGGGTATTGGCCCAATTCTGCTCTACATGCGTTATTTTGAGTTTTTCTTTGCACTTGCAATACAGTCTTGGAAAACTCTGCATGCAGTGTTTCGATTGGATGTTTGTCCCATTTGCTCAATTCATTATTAGAGAGCGGACCCCATACTTCGCTGCCATATAGAGCAATTGGTTCTATAACTGATTGGAAAATCTTAAGCCAGATTCTAATTGGAATTTCAATTTTAATGTTCCTTTTAATGGCATAGAATGCTCTTCTTGCTTTGTCTCTCAGCTCGTTCACAGCCATGTGAAAGCTACCTGTGTTGCTGATATTTAGTCCTAGATATGTGTAGTTTTTGGTGTGTTCTAACAGAACTGTGTCCAAATAGAATTTATATTTGTGATCCTGATTTCTGGACCTTTTTTTGGAATATCATCATATTCAGGTTTTTTAGATTAACGGTCAGAGCCCAGGTCTGACAGAACCTGTGCAGATGATCTAGATGCTGCTGTAACCCCTCCTTAGTGGGAGACAGTAGCACCAGGTCATCTGCGTACAGCAGACACTTGATTTCAGTGTTGTGTAGGGTGAGACCAGGTGCTGCAGATTCTGCTAATGTTTTTGCCAATTCATTAATGTAGATGTTAAATAGTGTTGGACTTATTGGGCAGCCCTGTTTCACTCCACGTCCCTGAGAGAAGAAGTCTGTTTGCTTGTTGCCGATTTTAACCGCACATTTGTTTTTAGTGTACATTGATTTAATAACATCATATGTTATCCCTCCAATACCACTTTCTATTAGCTTATTAAAAAAAGACCTTTGTGACAAATTAAATCAAATGCTTTCTTGAAGTCTACAAAACATGAGTAGATTTAGCCTTTGTTGTGGTTGACTTGTTTGTCAGTTAGTGTGGAGGGTGTAAATGTGGTCTGGTGTACGATAATTTGTTACAAATCCAATCTGGCTTCTGCTCAGGACGTTGTGTTCATCAAGGAAATGACGTGGTCTGCTATTTATAATACTGCAGAGAATTTACCCCAAGTTGCTGTTAACGCAAATTCCTCTGTAATTATTTGGGTCAAATTTTCCAAAATTTTTATAGATTGGTGTGATCAATCCTTGGTTCCAAATATCGGGGGAAATACCTGCAGTGAGGATAATGTTCAATAGTTAGAGTATATCCGAATTTGTGGTCTATATATTTGATCATTTCATTTAAAATACCATCAGCACCACAGGCCTTTTTGGGTTGGAGAGTGCATCGTTTTTCCAATAATTATTGTTCTGTAATTGGGGTATCCACAAGATTCTGATAGTCTTTGACTGCTGATTCAAGGATTTGTAATTTTTTTTGTATATCTTGTTGTTCTGGGCTCTTTGTTATATTGCTGTAGAGGTTTGCAAAGTGATTTCTCCACATATCCCCATTTTGGATATCCAATTCCTCATGATGAGGTTTGTTTAATTTATTCAAATTCTCCCAGAAGTGGGTTGATGGATTCCTCAATTACATCCAGCTGATTTCTAATGTGCTGTTCCTTTTTTGTTCTTAGGGTGTGTTTGTATTGCTTCAGTGTTTCCCATTTTGAAAGATTATTTTTTTGTTGTCTGGTTCTCTGTGTTTCTGATTAGATACACTACCGGTCAAAAGTTTTAGAACACCTACTCATTCAAGGGTTTTTCTTTATTTTTACTATTTTCTACATTGTAGAATAATAGTGAAGACATCAAATCTATGAAATAACACAGATGAAATCATGTAGTAACCAAAAAAAATGTTAAACAAATCAAAATATATTTTATATTTGATATTCCTCAAATAGCCACCCATTGCCTTGATGACAGCTTTGCACACTCTTGGCATTCTCTCAACCAGCTTCATGAGGTAGTCACCTGGAATGCATTTCAATTAACAGGTGTGCCTTCTTAAAAGTTAATTTGTGGAATTTCTTTCCTTAATGCGTTTGAGCCAATCAGTTGTGTTGTGTCAAGGTAGGGGTGGTATACAGAAGATAGCCCTATTTGGTAAAAGACCAAGTCCATATTATGGCAAGAACAGCTCAAATAATCAAAGAGAAACGACAGTCCATCATTACTTTAAGACATGAAGGTCAGTCAATATGGAACATTTCAAGAACTTTGAAAGTTTCTTCAAGTGCAGTCGCAAAAACCATCAAGCGCTATGATGAAACTGGCTCTCATGAGGACCGCCACAGGAATGGAAGACCCAGAGTTACCTCTGCTGCAGAGGATAAGTTCATTAGAGTTACCAGCCTCAGAAATTGTAGCCCAAATAAATTCTTCACAGAGTTCAAGTAACAGACACATCTCAACATCAACTATTCAGAGGAGACTGTGTGAATCAGGCCTTCATGGTCGAATTGCTGCAAAGAAACCACTACTAAAGGACACCAATAAGAAGAAGAGACTTGCTTGGGCCAAGAAACACGAGCAATGGACATTAGACCGGTGGTTCCAACCGCCGTGTCTTTGTGAGACGCAGTGTGGGTGAACGGATGATCTCCGCATGTGTGGTTCCCAATTTAAAGCATGGAGGAGGAGGTGTTATGGTGTGGGGGTGCTTTGCTGGTGACACTGACTGTGATTTATTTAGAACACTTAACCAGCATGGCTACCACAGCATTCGGCAGCGATATGCCATCCCATCTGGTTTGGGCTTATTGGGACTATAATTTGTTTTTCAACAGGACAATGACCCAACACACCTCCAGGCTTTGTAATGGCTATTTTACCAAAAGAGATTGGATTTTTTTGGCTACTAATTGTTTTTTGGTAGATTTCTGTACTGTTTGCACTCCATCTATAGGCCTGTTTTAGCCATGATTGGGCCATGATGCTTCATGGTTGGGTTCTGCTCTTCTCAGATACACTGTGATTTTACTGTGGTCTGAGAGAGGTGTTAGTGGGCTGACTGTGAAGGCTCTGGGAGACTCTGGGTTGAGGTCGGTGATTAAGTAGTCTACAGTACTGCTGCCAAGGGATGAGCTGTAGGTGAACCTACCAAAAGAGTCCCCTCTTAGCCTACCATTGACTATGTACAGACCCAGTGTTCAATAGAGCTTCAGGAGATGGTCTCCATTTTAGTTTTTCACTTTGTCATAGTTGTTTCTGGGGCGGTATGTGGGGAGGGAAAGGTTGTTGCTTCCCGGTAGGTGTTTGTCCCCATGACTGTTAATAGTGTCTAGTTCTTCTGCTGTTCTAGCATTCAGGTCTCCACAGACCAGCACGTTGCCTTGAGCCTGAAAGTGACTAATCTCCCCCTTTAGAATGGAGAAACTCTCTTCATTGAAGTAGGATGACTCTGAGGGGGGAATGTCTGTGGCACAGAGGAATACATTTTTATCGGTTAAGATGGCCTCCTTATTGATATTTAACCAGAATTCTCCTGTTTTGATCAATTCCATTGAATGACTTAGTTCGTTAGTTAGTAAATACCATAGTAGCATTTTTCTCCCTGAAGCTGCTATTTCTGGAGTTCTTTACTTGGTGATGTGTGTATCTTCCTCCTCCTCCTCCTCCTCCTCCCTGTGTGTATCTAGATGTTAACCCCCTCCTCCCTGTGTGTATCTAGATGTTAACCCCCTCCTCCCTGTGTGTCTCCTCTCCCTGCAGCCTGCGGAGATGGAGGTGGAGTCCCAGGTCCACCTGTACGGCCACAGCTCTGAGGTGACCAGCCTCCATGTGTGCAAACCATACAGCATCCTTATCTCCGTCTCCAGGGACGGAACATGCATCCTCTGGGACCTCAACAGGTGGGTGTCTGTTTACCTGTCTACTGTACGTGGTAGCTTAGCCTGGCAATCTAACAATGACCATTGTTTTGTTTATGTCATTTATATGGAGGTGTTTGTCTTGCTAGGTTGTGTTATGTCCAGAGCCTGACGGGTCACAAGAGCCCGGTGACAGCAGTGTCAGCCAGTGAGACCACAGGGGACATCGCAACTGTCTGTGACTCAGGTGAGGACCTGGATGTTTCTGTACATGGAATAGTCTAGTGTGAGGACCTGTCTGTCTGTCTGTCTCTCTGTACAGTAACTACCAGGTCCTCACACTAGACTATTCCATGTACAGAAAAAACCAAGTCTGTCTAACTGTCTCTCTGTCTCTCTGTCTCTCTGTCTGTCTGTCTGTCTGTCTGTCTGTGTATCACTCATCCTCTCTAACCTATGATGTCATTGTGTATTTCCAGTGGGCGGGGGCAGTGACCTACGGTTGTGGACGGTGAACGGCGATCTGATTGGCCACGTCCACTGCCGTGAGATCATCTGCTCTGTGGCGTTCTCCAATCAGCCGGAGGGAGTGTCTGTCAATGTCATTGCAGGGGGACTGGAGAACGGAGTGGTCAGGTGAGCAGCTTCCCATGTCTGTCTGTCTGTCTGTCTGTCTGTGTCTCTCTCTCTCTGTCTGTCTGTCTGTCTGTCTGTCTGTCTGTCTGTCTGTGTCTGTCTCTGTCTCTGTCTGTCTGTCTGTCTGTCTGTCTGTCTGTCTGTCTGTCTGTCTGTCTGTCTCTGTCTGTCTGTCTGTCTGTCTGTCTGTCTGTCTGTCTGTCTGTATGTGTCTGTCTGTCTGTCTGTCTGTCTGTCTGTCTGTCTGTCTGTCTGTCTGTCTCTGTCTGTCTGTCTGTCTGTCTGTCTGTCTGTCTGTCTGTCTGTCTGTCTGTCTGTCTGTCTGTCTGTCTGTCTGTCTGTCTCTGTTTGTCTGTCTCTGTTTGTCTGTCTGTCTGTCTGCCTGTCTGTCTCTCTGTCTCTCTGTCTCTGTCTGTCTGTCTGTCTGTCTGTCTGTCTGTCTGTCTGTCTCTTGTCTCTCTGTCTCTCTCTCTCTCTGTCTCTCTCTCTCTCTGTCTGTCTGTGTATGAGGCTGGTGAGAGGGCACGGTGATGAGCTTGATGCTCCTTTCCAATAAATATAGAGGGTCTTATTCTGGTGACATGATGATCGATGCTTGGTTGCCGTTTGACAAATAAAAGTAATCTCACTATTTTTTCAATAATAATCTCCTCATGTACAATGCCTTCAGAATGTGTTCACACCCTTGACTTTACAATTTTTTGGTTACAAAGTGGAATTATGTTTTTTGACATTTTTACAAATAATTAATAGCTGAAAAGTCTTTGTTATGGCCAGACTAAATAAGTTCAGGAGTAAAAATGTGCTTAACATGTCACATAATAAGTTGCATGGACTCACTCTGTGTGCAATAATAGTGTTTAACATGATTTCTTAATGACTACCTCATCTCTGTACCCCACACATACAATTATCTGTAAGGTCCCTCAGTTGAGCAGTGAATTTCAAACACAGATTCAACCACAAAGAACCAGGGAGGTTTTTCCAATGAGTGCCTCGCCAAAGAAGGGCAACCTATGGGTAGATGGGTTAAAAAAAAAGCAGACATTGAATATCCCTTTGAGCCATAGTGAAAGTTATTTATTACACTTTGGATGGTGTATCAATACACCCAGTCACTACAACAAGGGATTACATGCGTGCCTTGCCTAACTCAGTTGGCGGAGAGGAAGGAAACCCTCTGGGATTTCCACCATGAGGCCAATGGTGGACTTTTAAAAACAGTTACAGGAGTTTATTGGCTTTTGATAGGAGAGAAAATTGATGGATGGATCAACAACCATTTGGTAGTTACTCCACAATAACTAACCTAATTGACAGAGTGAAAAAGAAGGAAGCCTGTACACAATACAATATTCCAAAACATTTATCCTGTTTGCAATAGGCACTAAAGTAAATGTGGCAAAGAAATAAACTTTATGTCCTGAATACAAAGTGTTATGTTTGGGGCAAATCCAACAAAACACATCACTGAGTACCACTCTTCATATTTACAAGCATAGTGGTGGCTGCATCATGTTATGGGTATGCTTGTCATCGTTAAGGACAAAGGAGCTTTTTAGGATAAAAAGTAACGGAATAGAGCTAAGCACAGGCAGAATCCCAGAGGAAAACCTGGTTCAGTCTGCTTTCCAACACTGGGAGAGAAATTCACCTTTCAGCAGGACAATAACCTAAAACACAAGGCCAAATAAACAGTGGCCGAGTTAGTTCTGACTTAAATCTACTTGAAAATCTATGGCAAGACCTGAAAATGGCTGTCTAGCAATGATCAACAACCAATTTGACAGAGCTTGAAGAATTTTGAAAATAATAATGGGCAAATGTTGCAGAATCCAGGTGTGGAAATCTCTTAGAGACTGACCCAGAAAGACTGACAGCTGTAATCGCTGCTAAAGGTGATTCTAACATGTATTGACTCAGGGGGGGTTGAATACTTACAGTATTTCTGTATTTCATTTTCAAAACATTTACCAAAATGTCTAAAAAACATGTTTTCACTTTGTCATTATGGGGTATTGTCTAGATGGGTGAAAAAATAATCTGTTTTAATCCATTTTGAATTCAGGCTGGAACACAACATAATGTGGAATAAGTGGAGGGGTATGAATACTTTCTGAAGGCACTGTAGACTAGTCTACCCACACTGTATCTGCAAGCTGTTGGCTAGAGAGCACATGCCAAGACCAGGGTGGGGGCACATTCGCTATAGAAGACCATTTTTGGCAATGGAAACCCATTTTAACTTGGATTGTTTTATTCGGTACATTGGAACATAACAAACGTTATGTTTCTGTACGCTACATCATCACAGACTTTTATCTGCAACAAATCAATTTAATGGAAACATCTCTGCTGGGAAAATGCACATATTGTTTTTATGCAAATTTTTGAATATTCGCAAGGAAATCTGTCGCCAATTGGATGGAAACTTAGCTAGTGACACAAAGATGTTGTGAATGAGCGGGGGCTTCCTGAATGAATGTAAATAACACACCTCTTTCCTTTCCCTGTCATCACAACCATTCAGGCTGTGGAGCACTTGGGACTTGAAGCCAGTGAGAGAGATCACCTTCCCCAAGTCTAACAAGCCCATCATCAGCCTGACGTATTCATGTGACGGCCACCACCTCTACACAGCTAACAGCGAGGGGACGGTCATGGCCTGGTGTAGGAGAGACCAGCAGAGGATGAAACTGCCCATGTTCTACAGCTTCCTCTCTAGCTACGCTGCCAGCTGACAGACAGGGCCTTAAAGGACTACACTACCCACAATCCTCCCGAGAGACGTGATTACAATACCCACAGTCCTATTCTGACGCATGGCTCCAGACTACCCGCTTAGAGACCGCATGTTGAGTCAGAACTACAATACCCACAGTCCTCTGCTCTTATGGCGGCCCCCAGACCTCCCGGCATTTTGAGTCAGAACTACAATACCCATAGTTCTCTTCTCTTCTGACGCATTGCTCCAGACTACCCTGGGACAAAACTACAATAACCACAGTTCTCCAGGCGGACAGAACAGCCCGAGCCTCTCCGTGAGCAGTCAGTCCCCTTCTCTCCCCCCGCCGGGAGACCCGCCTCCGGCAATCTACAGCCATTTTCGTGCAAGCAGACTAGCGGCTGTAAACATTAAGCTATGATATGATATTAAAGATCTGTAGATATACTGGTATGTAACAGGGCAGAGCAGGGGGGAGGAGGCTGGGGCTGTCATGGAAACCAACCTTTTGTTCTGATTGTTGTTCTGATTGTATGATTTTTGTTTTGTTTGAGTTTGGTCTTTTTTGCTTTTGGAATATTTTCGTTTTGTTGTCGTGGTAATAATGTTCCTTCCTTCTGAAATGTGTTGCTGATGACTTGATTGGTTGACTGTCCTGGTGAGCTGCTACATACCCTCTCACCAATCCCAAGTCAGACCAAAGGCCCCGCCTCTGCTAGTGTCTGACCAATCCAAAGCCAGAGCAGAGGGTTGAAGACCCCCCCCCCCCCCCCTCGTCTCTCCTTTACGGCCAACGCATGAGTCACCTGACCGATGGCTCTTATTCCTTAGAGACCAGGAAAAGCTGCAGTGACAGGGATGGAGACACTCTGCATATCTGTCACCTACCTGGAGATGGCCTGGCCCTGCATGGTCCTATGGAGACTGAGATACCCCTCCTGTCGACTCTGAACTCTAGACTACGTAAACCAGCTAGGGTTGTGGAGGTGGGATCTGGGATGATAGGAGTCACTGCTCCGTGTGTTGCCTGTAATGCCCTGGACTGATCTGGGATGATAGGAGTCACTGCTCCGTGTGTTGCCTGTAATGCCCTGGACTGATCTGGGTTGATAGGAGTCACTGCTCCGTGTGTTGCCTGTAATGCCCTGGACTGTGCCCTAATAAATGCCCTCTTCTTGCATGCTGGAATGAAGGAGACTGAGGGGGAATGTATACATGTGTGTGTGGATGTGTAGGTGTGTGTGTGTGGATGTGTAGGTGTGTGTGTGTGGATGTGTAGGTGTGTGTGTGAAAGCAATAACTCCGTTATGTTCCTACCTTGTTTAATCCTGCTCCTTGTTGTGTCCATTTTGTTAAAGTGCTGTTGTCATCATCTCTTATTACCAATGAAAGCTGAGAATTATCTTCTGTTCTGTCCTTGTGTTTACTGGCCTCTCCTCTTCAAGGCACTGCAGCCATCAGCTTGCTGGAGATCTGATCTATCATAGGACAGAGGGGAAAGAACCCAGCATCACGTTCCTAGAACCATACCTCTGTCGTCCTTACACTTCATCTTCTAGTTCACCAGTAGGATTTGGAGCCAGAGAGATAAGAGAGTGTAGGAGTGTCTGTCCCCTGAACTCTCCTCTCCTTCACAGCCCTGTAGAAGTGGTGGCTTGATCCAGACAGCCTGTCCCCTGAGCTCTGCTCTCCTTCACAGCCCTGTAGAAGTGGTGGCTTGATCCAGACAGCCTGTCCCCTGAGCTCTGCTCTCCTTCACAGCCCTGTAGAAGTGGTGGCTTGATCCAGACAGCCTGTCCCCTGAGCTCTGCTCTCCTTCACAGCCCTGTAGAAGTGGTGGCTTGATCCAGACAGCCTGTCCCCTGAGCTCTGCTCTCCTTCACAGCCCTGTAGAAGTGGTGGCTTGATCCAGACAGCCTGTCCCCTGAGCTCTGCTCCAGTCTCCTGCTGCCAGGATTACAGACCACTGGGGAGCTGCTTTAACATCCCAGGACACATCAAATCACCCTTGTAATTAGTAATCAATTAAATGAGTGTCTATCTCCACTTCTACACAATGAGAGAGAGAGAGAGAGAGGCAGAGAGATGAGAAGAGCAGAGAGATCTACGATAGGGGAGAAGAGAGGAGATCACATGACAAAACTAGAGATACAGAGCATCGAGGTAGATAATTTAATTGCATTAAACCAAGAGAATTGAGAAAAAGACGAAAAACCCCTTTTTAAAAAAAGGGTTTTTTCCCCCTTTAAAATTTAGGATTTGGACCAGAGGAAAAAGTGAGATGTCCCCCCGCCCTTTCCCCCCCGGTAAAAGGGGGATCCGACCCTTCCCCCCGAGCCTGTTTCCCCCACCCCCCCTTAAAACCCCTTGAAGAACCTGCCCCGATTTCCCCCCCTTTAAAGCCCAAAATTTCTTGCCCCCAACCCCTTTCCCCCCCTTTTTCCTTAAACCCCGGAAGGGGTTACCAGACGGGTTTCCCCGACGTTTTAACCCGAGGTGGTTTTTCCAGAACCCTGGGGGGGAAAACCCTTGGGAGTTTAAGATGGGACTTTTTAAAAAAAAAAAACCCCTTTGGAAAAAAAAAAAAGGGGGCCTCCTTTTCCCCAGGGGGAAATAAAAGACATAATCACACACACTCCATAGAGATATATATACTGTATGTACACACTCCATAGATGTACAGTGCATTCGGAAAGAATTCAGAACACTTGACTTTTACACATTTTGAGAGGTTACAGCCTTATTCTAAAATGGATTAAATTGTTTATTTTCCTCATCAATCTACACACAATACCCCATAATGACAAAGCAAAAGCAGTTTTTTAAATAAAAAAATTAAAAATGGATATGACATTTACATAAGTATTCAGACCCTTTACTCAGTACTTTGTTGAAGCACCTTTGGCAGCGATTACAGCCTTGAGTCTTCTTGGGCATGACGCTACAAGCTTGGCACACCTGTATTTGGGGATTTTCTCCCATTCTTCTCTGCAGATGCTCTCAAGCTCTGTCAGGTTGGATGGGGAGCGTTGCTGCACAGCTATTTTCAGGTCTCTCCAGAGATGTTTGATCGGGTTCAAGTCAGGGCTCTGGCTGGGCCACTCAAGGACATTCAGAGACTTGTCCCGAAGCCACTCCTGCATTCTCTTGGCTATGTGCTTTGGGTCGTTGTCCTGTTGGAAGGTAAACCTTCACCCCAGTCTGAGGTCCTGAGCGCTCTGGAGCAGGTTTTCATCAAGGATCTCTCTGTACTTTGCTCCATTCATCTTTCCCTCGATCCTGACTAGTCTCCCAGTCCCTGCCGCTGAAAAACATCCCCACAGCATGATGCTGCCACCACCATGCTTCACCATAGGGATGGTGCCAAGAGGTTTCCTCTAGAAGTGACGCTTGGCATTCAGGCCAAAGAGTTCAATCTTGGTATCATCAGACCAGAGAATCTTGTTTCTCATGGTCTGAGAGTCTTTAGGTGCCTTTTGGCAAACTCCAAGTGGGCTGTCATGTGCCTTTTACTGAGGAGTGGCTTCCGTCTGGCCACTCTACCATAAAGGCCTTTGGTGGAGTGCTGCAGAGATGGTTGTCCTTCTGGAAGGTTCTCCCATCTCCACAGAGGAACTCTGGAGCTCTGTCAGAGTGACCATCAGGTTCTTGGTCACCTCCCTGACCAAGGCCCTTCTCCCCGATTGCTCAGTTTGGCCTGGTGTCCAGCTCTAGGAAGAGTCTTGGCGGTTCCAAACTTCTTCCATTTAAGAATGATGGAGGCCACTGTGTTCTTGGGGACCGACAATGCTGCAAACATTTTTTGGTACCCTTCCCCAGATCTGTGCCTCGACACAATCCTGTCTCGGAGCTCTACGGACAATTCCTTTGACCTCATGGCTTGGTTTTTGCTCTGACATGCACTTTCAACTGTGGGACCTTATGTAGACAGGTGTGTGCCTTTCCAAATCATGTCCAATCAATGTAATTTACCACAAGTGGACTCTAATCAAGTTGTAGAAATATCTCAAGGATAATCAATGGAAACAGGATGCACCTGAGCTCAATTTCGAGTCTCATAGCAAATGGTCTGAATACTTATGTAAATAAGGTATTTCTGTTTTCATTTAGTTATACATTTGCAAACATTTCTAACAACCTGTTTTCGCTTTGTCATTATGGGGTATTGTGTGTAGATTGATCCAATTTTTTAAAAATGTAACCCATATTAGAATAAGGCTGTAACGTAAAAAATGTGGAAAAAGTCAAAGGGTCTGAATACTTTCTGAATGCACTGTACATACTGTATGTACACACTCCATAGATATAAATATGTACACACTCCATAGTACACACTCCATAGATATAAATATGTACACACTCCATAGATATAAATATGTACACACTCCATAGATATAAATATGTACACACTCCATAGATATAAATATGTACACACTCCATAGTACACACTCCATAGATATAAATATGTACACACTCCATAGATATAAATATGTACACACTCCATAGTACACACTCCATAGATATAAATATGTACACACTCCATAGATATAAATATGTACACACTCCATAGATATAAATATGTACACACTCCATAGTACACACTCCATAGATATAAATATGTACACACTCCATAGTACACACTCCATATATATAAATATGTACACACTCCATAGTACAAATATGTACACACTCCATAGTACACACTCCATATATATAAATATGTACACATTCCATAGTACAAATATGTACATTTTACATTTTAGCAGACGCTCTTATCCAGAGCGACTTACAGTTAGTGAATACATATTTTTTTTATACTGGCCCCCTGTTGGAATTGAACCCACAACCCTGGCGTTGCAAACGCCATGCTCTATCAACTGAGCTACATCCCTGCCGGCCATTCCCTCCCCTACCCTGGACGACGCTGGGCCAATTGTGCGCCGCCCATGAGTCTCCCGGTCGCGGCCGGCTGCGACAGAGCCTGGATTCGAACCAGGATCTCTAGTGGCACAGCTAGCACTGCGATGCAGTGCCTTAGACCACTGCGCCACTCAGGACACACTCCATAGATATAAATATGTACACACTCCATATATATATAAATATGTACACACTCCATAGATATAAATATGTACACACTCCATAGATATAAATATGTACACACTCCATAGATATAAATATGTACACACTCCATAGATATAAATATGTACACACTCCATAGATATAAATACATACACATTCTATAGTACAAATATGTACACACTCCATATATATATAAATATGTACACACTCCATAGTACACACTCCATATATATAAATACATACACATTCTATAGTACAAATAT